CCTCAAACACTCTCTACTTCATGTGGAAAAATGCTGCACTCACAGAGCTCAAGCAGTGTTGTATTTCAGTCTCAGTGTTGACGTCTGTAGATAGTCCACGTTTCGCAGGCATACAGCAGGGTTGGGAGGACAATAGCTTTATAAACAACCACCTTGGTATCCCTAAGGATGTTCCGGTCCTCAAACACTCTCTGCTTCATTCGGAAAAATGCTGCACTCACAGAGCTCAGGCGGTGTTGTATTTCGGTGTCAATGTTGACTTTGGTGGAGAGGTGGCTGCCAAAATGGTCAACATTTTCTAATGTTACACCATTAAGCTGTATCTTTGACATTGGAGAGGGATTGGCTGGTGACTGCTGGAAGAGCTCTTTTGTTTTCTCGATGTTCAATGACAGGCCGAGCTTCTCGTATGCTTCTGCGAGGGTGTTTAGAGTGGCTTGTAGATCTTCTGAATGCGCACAGACGACATTGTCATCAGCATACTGGAGTTCTATAACAGATGTTGTTGTAACCTTGGTTTTGGCTTTCAGTCTGCTGAGGTTAAATAGCTTGCCATCTGTCCAATAGATGATTTCCACTCCGGTGGGAAGCTTCCCATCAACAAGATGAAGTTATCGCTATGATACTTCAATGGATTCAAGCAGCAGGGGCAAAACTGAGGTCTGTACTAGATGAAGATAGGTTCTCTGAAAAACTGCATGACAACTTCCAGAATATCTCAGCTGGTAGGAAATTCTAGGTATTGTTTCCAAAGCACAGTATTTTACTGAATGTTGTGTTGTCGGTAAATCTTAATATGTTTGCATCTATTTGCTATAATCTTTTGGCTAGTAGTATAAGCTCAAAAAATCTATATAAATAAAAACGTAAGGTTCGTTTGTGGGATTAACAGAACTCAAAAACTACTGTACAAATTGACACCAAATTTGGACACAATACGCCTACTAGGCCAATGTATGTCCTTCACTCAAAAAATTGATTTTGTCATTTGGGAATTGTAGTTGCTAGGATTTATAGTTTACTTACAATCAAAGAGCATTCTGAACTCCACCAATGATGGAATTGAACCAAACGTGGCACACAGTACTCCCATGACCAACACTAGAAGGGTTTGGTGGGCATTGACTTTGAGTTTGGGTGTTGTAGTTTACCTACACCCAGAGGGCACTGTGGAATCAAACAATGATGGAGCTGGACCAAACTTGGTACAAATATTCCATATGCCCAAATATGAACACAGATGGAATTTGAGGGAAATAGATCTTGACATTTGGGAGTTGTATTTACTGGGATTTATAGTTTACTTACAATCAAAGAGCATTCTGAACTCCACCAATGATGGAATTGAACCAAACGTGGCACACAGAACTCCCATGACCAACAGAAAAACATTAGAAGGGTTTGGTGGGCATTGACTTTGAGTTTTGGAGTTGTGGTTCACCTACATCCAGAGAGCACTGTGGACTCAAACAATGATGGATCTGGACCTAACTTGGCACAAATACTCCGTTTGTCCAAATAGGAACACAGATGGAATTTGAGGGAAATAGACCTTGATATTTTGGAGTTGTAGTGAAATGGCAGAGAATAGGTTTTGAGGAAAGGAGAGACAATACCAAGAGACATCCTTTCTGGAGATAAGAAAAGTATGGTTTTATTTCCAGCTGGGGCCTGGTGAGGAGTCATCTCTCTAAAGCACCAGCACAATGAAACAGGCGTGGACTGTGGCTTTTATAGATGCCAGCTTCAAGCAAACAAAGAACATGCTAGTACATACAATCATCATCATCCCTATGTCATCTGAGCATCATAAGAATATCAGGTTTCCCCTCCAATATACGAAAAAGCATGTCTGTGTCTTGCTGCAGAGCAAGCATGCCTGTGTATTTCTAGGAGCAGCTTACATCCATCAAAGGGGCCCACTCTGACCTGTCAGAGGTGCTCCTTAGTACTAGTCCGTCGCTCCTAGTATGGGCTTCTCGGACAGGCTTATCTCTCTTCTGGAATGTAGAGATAGCATGCCCCCCTTCCTCTTGGCTGTGCCTGGGATGTAGCCTGCTTGTCAGCTTGGGTTTCTTACACACAGAGAGAGATTTTTCTATGCTTTTCAGTGTTTGTAAGGCACATATGATTTTATGCATAGATCAATCAATAAATATCTATATTTTCCCAATAACTCCTCATCAGTAGTTACTAGGATTTGTAGTTCACCTACAATCAAACCCCGCCAACAATAGAATTGGGCCTAGTAGACAAGACCAGAATGCATCTGCAGCCGAGCTCCAGGCCTGCCTACACGCCTCGTCACACGTGCACTCTCTTTCCAAGGCCAGGAGGTGCATGGAAGCAAGCTTTTGTATTGAGCAGATTTTCGTGTGGGGAGGAGGCTTCCCGTTTTGTGCTTCCAAAGAAATGGAAGACACAAAAGAAATGGTAGGAACAAATACAGTGCACATATCTAAACTCTTATGAAGAACATTTGCATTTAAGGGAAGGGGTTTTCTGGGTAGTAGACTTGAGTGCAAATGCTTATGTTATAATTTCTTTCTCCCAGTTAGTTTCAAAGGACGGTATCGCACAATGCAGATAAAGCATAATTGCAGCAGGATAAAGGGTAATGGCGCTCCATGCAGTCATGCCGGCCACATGACCTTGGAGGTGTCTATGGACAACGCCGGCTCTTCGGCTTAGAAATGGAGATGAGCACCACACCCCAGAGTCAGACATGACTGGACTTAATGTCAGGGGACTACCTTTACCTTTACCTTTACCTTTACCTTAAAGGGTCATTTGGGAATCTGTATTAATAAATGGCTGGCATAGTGCAATTGCAATAAGATGTGATAGCAAATTGTTCCGTTGATTGTATGTTTCCATTTGTTTAAATAATCCAAACACCACAAGCTCCCTTCCCATATGGCTGGTCCGAAAGAACCTGTCTCCGTTCTCTTGAGCACGTTGTCCTTCTTACAACAGCCAACTCTTAGCTCCTGGCAGGATTCCCTTTGCCATAAATTGGACAAAGTTTTTGGCAATCAATTTACATCCACTTTTAAAGCTTTGCTTTAAAATAGCTCAGGGGAACATAAGAACATTGGTGTGGCGTGCCTCATCCGCGGAGCAAGATATCATAGCTCAATGTCAAATAATGCTGGGCAAAGTATATTCTCCGGTACAGCAAAGCATTGTGCTATACCCATGGAACATTTATTTATTTATTGGCTACATTTTTATACCGCCCCTCTCAGCCCACAGGCGACTCGAGGCAGTTCACAAGGCAAAATTCAATGCCAACAATATTATAAAAACATATAAAACATTTTAAAGCATTTAGTTTGAGGACCCCTCGTTTAGGGCTTTATAGGTAAAGTGCTGGAACAGCCTGGAAGCAGAATGGCTTTCCTGGAGACTAGGACGCAACGGAACAATGGCTTCAAACTACAAGAAAGGAGATTCCATCTGAACATGAGGAAGAACTTCCTGACTGTGAGAGCCGTTCAGCAGTGGAACTCTCTGCCCTGGAGTGTGGTGGAGGCTCCTTCTTTGGAAGCTTTTAAACAGAGGCTGGATGGCCATCTGTCAGGGTAGATTTGAATGCAATATTCCTGCTTCTTGGCAGGGGGTTGGACTGGATGGCCCATGAGGTCTCTTCCAGCTCTATAATTCTATGATTCTATGATTTGTGAGGCCACCACCTTCTCTAGAACCTTGCCCAAAAAGGGGAGATTGACACTGGCCAAAAGTTGTTCAATTGAGTGGGATCCAATGCTGGTTTCTTTAACCGTGGTCTTACTAGTGCCTCCTTGAAACTAATTGGCATTGGCCTTGTGTCAAGAGGGAGATATACCAAGAAAATCCCCTCTTGAAGATCTTTGAAGAAGATGTGATGGAGACACATTATTAGTTCTGATAGACAACTGAAATGAAGGTACTAGATTATATTGTGTCTTGCAGGGTTGCTGATGGTGTTGACTCTCTGTCTGTGAATTAGATCATTACGTTGGATGCTGAAAATGTCTCTTTGCATCTGAATGTGGTCGGAAATTTGCTGATGATGTTCATTTTTAATATAGGAAGGGGCAGGTGCCAAAAAGCAGGTACTCAATGTGTTTCTATATCAAGATTGTATTGATTGTACATTCCCTGCTTTATGTTGTGTAGTATAAGCTTGGAGGTGGGACGGTGAAGGAAGTGTGTTGGTTCAGCTGTCAAAACCAAATCTATGTTTCTTCCTTCTGTTTCTCTCCATGGTAAAAGTGGTCTACATCAGGCCTACCTGTGGACCGTATCTGGCCCACATCATAGTATGGCCAAGATAGCTTTTCCTAACCTCTAGGCCAGCGTTTCTCAACCTGGGGGTCAGGACCCGGGGGGGAGGGGTGTCAGAAGGTCACCAAGGGGGTGTCAGAAGGTCACCAAAGACCATCAGAAAACACAGTATTTTCTGTTGGTCATGGGGGTTCTGTGTGGGAAGTTTGGCCCAATTCCATTATTAGTGGGGTTCAGAATGCTCTTTGATTGTAGGTGAACTATAAATCCCAGCACCTACAACTCCCAAATGTCAAGGTCTATTTTCCCCAAAATCCACCAGTGTTCACAATTGGACATATTGAGCATTTGTGCCAAGTTTGGTCCAGTTCCATCATTGTTTGAGTCCACAGTACTCTCTGGATGTAGGTGAACTACAACTCCCAAACTCAAGGTCAGTGCCCACCAAACCCTTCTAGTATTTGCTGTTGGTCATGGGAGTTCTGCATGGGAAGTTTGGCCCAATTCCATTATTAGTGGGGTTCAGAATGCTCTTTGATTGTAGGTGAACTATAAATCCCAGCACCTACAACTCCCAAATGTCAAGGTCTATTTTCCCCAAACTCCACTAGTGTTCACACTTGCGCCTATTGAGCATTTGTGGTCCAGATCCATCATTGTTTGAGTCCACAGTGCTCTCTGGATAACAATGCTTTCCTCTCTTTGTTCTCTCTCTCTCTCTACATCTATAGGCATTTTTCCCAGGCAACCTCCACCTTGTGATGGTCCTCCGCCCCACTGGATTTTTCCAACGTACGTTCACCGATATTGGATTCCGGTTTAGCCAAGAAGACTTCCTTCTCAAGCTTCCGGTATGACAACCTCTTACATTTAATTACCGTATATACTCCAGTATAAGCTGACCCGAATAGAAGCAGAGCCTCCAAATTTTACCACAAAAAAATTTGGAAAAAAGTATTATTTATTTATCAGTATCAACCAGACAATTGTATTACATTTTTAATAAAATTTTCACAAAGACAAAACAGAGTTTGCAAGCTTGGTACTTGATGAAATGTCCTTTGACCTGTATCTGGCCACTTGGAGTGCCTCTGGTGTTGCCACAAGGAGGTCCTTCATTGTGCATGTGGCAGGGCTCAGGTTGCATTGCAGCAGGTGGTCAGTGGTTTGCTCCTCGCCACACTCGCATGTCGTGGATTCCACTTTGTGGCCCCATTTCTTAAGGTTGGCTCTGCATCTCGTGGTGCCAGAGCACAGTCTCTTCAGCGCCTTCCAAGTCGCCCAGTTTTCTGGAGTCTCTCATTTGGTATCAGCCATTGATTGAGGTGCTGGATTTGAGCCTGCCACTTTTGGACTCTTGCTTGCTGAGGTGTTCCACCGAGTGTCTCTGTAGATCTTAGAAAACTATTGATTTAAGTCGTTGACGTGCTGGCCGATACCCAAACAAGGGATGAGCTGGAGATGTCTCTGCCTTGGTCCTTTCACTATTGGCTGCCACTTCCCGGCGGATGGCAGGTGGTGCAATACTGGCTAGACAGTGTAATTTCTCCAGTGGTGTAGGGCGCAGACACCCCGTGATAATGCGGCATGTCTCATTAAGAGCCACATCCACTGTTTTAGCGTGGTGAGATGTGTTCCACACTTGGCATGCATACACAGCAGCGGAGTAGCAAAGCGCAAGGGCAGATGTCTTCACTGTGTCTGGTTGTGATCCCCAGGTTGTGCCAGTCAGCTTTCGTATGATATTGTTTCTAGCACCCACTTTTTGCTTGATATCCAGGCAGTGCTTCTTGTAGGTAAGAGCACGGTCCAGAGTGACTCCCAGGTATTTGAGTGCACTGCAATGCTCCAGTGGAATTCCTTTCCAGGTAATCCTCAGAGCTCGGGATGCTTGTCTGGGTGAAAGGCACATGTCTGTGTTTTAGATGGGTTAGGGATCAGCTGGTTTTCCCTGTAATAGGCAGTAAGAGCACCTAGAGCTTTGGAGAGCTTCTGTTCAACCATCTCAAAGCTCCCTGCTTGAGCAGTAATGGCACGATCGTCAGCATAGATGAAGCTCTCTGTCCCTTCTGGCAGTGGCTGGTCATTTGTGTAGATGTTGAACATGGATGGAGCAAGCACGCTCCCCTGAAGCAGGCCGTTCTTCTGTTTCCGCCATCTGCTTCTCTAGCCCTGGAACTCAACAAAAAAACTCCTGTTTTGTATCAGGTTTCCTATGAGGCGGGTGAGGTGGTTGTCCTTTGTGATATTATACATTTTTCTCAGGAGGAGGCGGTGGTTTTCGGTATCATAAGCTGTTGACAGGTCTATGAAGAAAGCTCCTGTGATCTGCTGCCTTTCAAAGCCATCTTCTATGTGCTGAGTCAGGTTCAGCACTTGCGATGTGCAGCTTTTGCCTTTCCTGAAGCCAGCTTTCTATGGGATCAGACATGGGTCTAGTTTTTCCGTAATTCTATGCAAAATAAGTCTCTCCAGAACTTTGTAGAGATGGTATAACAAGCAGATTGGTCTATAGCTTTTTGGGTCATTACGTATTGACTTGTGTATAAGCCGAGGGTGAGAAATGCAGCCACTACTGGTAAATTTCAAAATAAAAATAGATACCAATACAGTTACATTAATTGAGACATCAGCAGGCTAAATGTTTTTGAATATTTATATAAAACTGTAATTTAAGATAAGGCTGCCCAACACTGATTAAACCATTATTCTAGCTTTCAATGTAAATTTGCTTGCATATCCTTCTAATAAAAATAAATAGAGTAAAACAATACATTTAATAATAATAACAATAATAATGACTGAAATAATGGAAATGTAATAATAACAGTAATAATAAATGTAATAATAACAATAATAAATAGAGTGAAATAATATATATAATAATGACAACAATTGTGCTGTCATGCACTGGATTAAACTGTACTATCACCTCCAGCAAATGGCCACATTGTCTGGGAATGATGGGAGTTGGAGTCCAACAACATCGGAAGAGGATTGCATTCCGCAGAATCAGGTTTCTAGCTCTCTGGTTACTAAACGTCTTTTTCTTTGGCTGTTCCCATTTCTCTCCAGGTTGTAATGCTGAGTTCAGTCAGCGACTTACTAACATACATCGACGAGAAGCAGCTGACGCCCGAATTTGGTGGCACTTTGGAGTACTGCCATACGAGATGGGTGATCTTCAGAACAGTATGTCCTTTCCCCCATATGCCATTCACATTCTCGACAACTCTGTCTGCTTCATTCTAGACCAAGACAGAATGACAAGATTGCCATCTGGCACATCATTCAAGGGTTGGTTGTAGAAGAAGGCTCATTGCATTTAAGATTGTCTTGCTGTGGCAGAGAAAACAATGGTTTCCGATATTTATGGATAGTGAGTCATGTATCTACAACATTGAATGGAAGCAGTTTGATGCCATGGTTCAATGATATGGAATTTATAGTTTGGTGGGGCACTCTTTGGCAGAGAAGGTGTGCCAAACTACAACTTTAATAATAATAATAATAATAATAATAATAATAATGATAATAATAATAATGATAATAATAATAATAGCAACAACAACAAGAACACTCTTTCTCACTTCCTCCATTCCCTTCCACCCTTTCGTCCTTCCCTCTCTTTCGTATTTCCTTCCTCCATATCTCCCTCTCTCTTTCTCCTTCCATCCTTCTCTTCCACCTTTTTTGCCTTTCCTTCCTTGCTTGCCTCTTTCCTCCTTCTCGCCCTCTTTCTCCTTCCTTCCTTCCTTCCTTCCTTCCTTCATTCATTCATTCATCCCTCCCTTGCCTCCCTCTTTCTTCCTCCCTCCTTTCCCTTCCGTCCTTTTGTCCTTCCTTCCCTCTCTCTTTCTCCTTCCTTCCTTCCTTCCTTCCTTCCTTCCTTCCTTCCTTCCTTCCTTCCTTCCTTCCTTCCTTCCTTCCTTCCGTCTTTTCTTTCTTCTCTCTTTCCTTTCTTCTTCCCTTCCTTCATCCTGGCCTTCCTTTCCCTTCCTTCCCTTCTCCTTTTTCATCCTTCCTTCCCTTTTGTCTTTCCTTCCCTCTTTCGTCCCTCCTTCCCTCTCTCCCTCTTTCTCCTTCTATCTTTCCCTTCCTCCCTTCTGTCTTTCCTTCCTCCTTCCGACTTCCTTCCATCACTGGACAACCAGTCCTCCTAGCAGGAAGTGCTAGCATGCGATCCCCAAGTTAGAAAGTTTGCCCAGGCCTGGCTTAGGTGGACAGTGAGCTGGGCTGACGGTCGAGTGCTCACCCCAGCCCAGGCTTCGAACTGCCAACCTTTTGATTGGTGTGATCTATTGCTGCTGGAGATTAACCAGCTTTACATGACCAAATAGTTCCCAACCTGAGAGGAGCATTTGTTGTTGTTCATTCGTTCAGTCTGACTCTTTGTGACTTCATGGACCAGTCCACGCCAGAGCTCCCTGTCGGACATCACCACCCCCAGCTCCTTCCTGGCTTCACTATTGGGACTGCCTTGTCCCTGCCACCAAAAAACGTATATCATATCTGCTTTCTGCAGTGCCGCCATCCTCTTACCAGAATCATAGAATCATAGAATCAAAGAGTTGGAAGAGACCTCATGGGCCATCCAATCCAACCCCCTGCCAAGAAGCAGGAATGTTGCATTCAAATCTCCCCTGACAGATGGCCATCCAGCCTGTGTTTAAAAGCTTCCAAAGAAGGAGCCTCCACCACACTCCGGGGCAGAGAGTTCCACTGCTGAACAGCTCTCACAGTCAGGAAGTTCTTCCTCATGTTCAGATGGAATCTCCTTTCTTGTAGTTTGAAGCCATTGTTCCATTGCGTCCTAGTCTCCAAGGAAACAGAAAACAAGCTTGCTCCCTCCTCCCTGTGGCTTCCTCTCACATATTTATACATGGCTATCATATCTCCTCTCAGCCTTCTCTTCTTTAGGCTAAACATGCCCAGCTCCTTAAACCGCTCCTCATAGGGCTTGTTCTCCAGACCCTTGATCATTTTAGTCGCCCTCCTCTGGACACATTCCAGCTTGTCAATATCTCTCTTGAATTGTGGTGCCCAGAATTGGACACAATATTCCAGGTGTGGTCTAACCAAAGCAGAATAGAGCGGTAGTATTACTTCCCTAGATCTAGACACTTCCTCCAAAAACCCAACATTTTATTTAGCTTTGCAATAAAAACTCAGTAAAAATTGGAAAGTGGCCCTGTATATGTAGTGATATTTAGTGATAGTGTAGATTGTAGAAGAAGACATTTTAGCTCATATTAATTGCATGACAAGTCAAGACTTGCTGCAATCTACTCTTCAAGGCGACCATGAAAAGTAGAGGAAACCCTGCCAGTTTTCTGGAAATTTGTTCATTCCTTCACTAACCTATGAAGCATGTTAATGGAGTATCTGTTTTTTTTTCCCCTTTCCAGGCTATAGAAAGTTTTGCTTTAACGGTGAAAGAAATTGCCCAGATGCTCCAGTCATTTGGTATGGAGTTGGCGGAAACAGAGTTGCCGGATGACACCTATTCGATTGAGCGCATTCTAGCCCTGCGGACAGAGAAATACTACCAGCTGAAGGCAAGTTGCGACAGATTCCTTCAACGATACCAAGGTTATTTATAATAATAATAATAAAACTTTATTTATACCCCACCACCATCTCTCCAAGGGACTTGGAGTGGCTTACATGATGCCAAGCCCAACAACACATCAATAAAAACAAGAAAGCAATAAACAAAAACTGTTCTGTCGGCGCTGGGCCTGTAATTAATTGACTTTAAAGACAGGATGTGTAACCTTTGCCCAGCGGGAAGCCAGGGGCCCAAGGAGAAGTTCTCAGAGGTTTCCACCACAAACAGTCTTTAGATGGCTTGAGAAGTGCAACAAAGTCTTTTATTAATGAACAATCAAACAGAAACTTCTCTTGTCTTCAGTAAAGTTAAGCAAATAATTCCAAGCTTTCTAGGGAACTGGTGAATTCCTAATCTTGCCCACGAAGGACAGGCAACTGACTTCAATAACTTTTTCTTTAAAGGAAAATCCCCTTTTTAACTTCTCCCAGGCTGACTGAAATCCAACCCTCACTGATGTGGGCTCCGCTACCAGGCCGAACTGCTTCTCGAATGCAGAGTGAACCTACCAGCAAGGCAGTGGATGTTCTCCAGCCGGAGTTCTTTAGTCTTTAAGGCTGTTTTCCTGGAAATTCTTAAAGCTGTGGGATGCTTCCCTGGAGTTCTTAAAGGTTGAAGCTTTTGTACAGAGGAAGTTACACACATCCTATACATAAGCTAACCTGGCTGAGACTAACTAACAAAATGGCTCACTTCCCTTCCCAATTACCCTGAGCAAGGGGCAGGACCAAAACGATGAAGGACAGGTGGCCTGCGCTATGACTGCAGCCAAAAGAAGCCACCTATTTGCAGAGTCCCTGAAACTTAGGACTACAAACAAACATTCAATGCAAAGCAAACAAAATTGGAGCTCCTGGTACAGCTGTACCAGAACAAAAACAATAAATTACAATACGATACAGTTAATATAAATCACATATAAACAATAAACAATAACACGCAAGGATTTAAAAACCTATGACCGAGCCAAATGTAATAGTTTAAAATTTAAAAAATAAACGCTGGGCATGAACAAGGTAGGATATAACTGGTATAAGGGTTTTAAAAGAAATGAGGGAGTGCAGTCCAACCCAATCCAATAGTAAAGTGCATTTTGAGGACATATTGCTGGGAATTTTCCTTATTCTGGGAAGGCACACTGGAACAGCCACGTTTCCAGGCTCCTCCTAAGACTGCCAATGTTGGGGCATGCCTGATGTCCTTGGGAAGTGAGTTCCAGAGTCGGGGGGCCACCACCAAGACGGCTCTCTCCCTCATCCCCAACAAACGTGCCTACGAAGGAGGTGGGAACAAGAGCAGGTCCTCTCCAGATGATCAAAGAGATCGTGTGGTTTCGTACACAGAAATGCGATCACGCATTTATTTGATCCTAGGATGCCTTACCCGATCCCAAGATAGGTTTGCCTTAACATCATTCTTTCATATGATATTTTTTCTAGCACCCACTTTTTGCTTGATAATCGGACAGTGCTTCTTGTAAGTCAGAGCATGGTCCAGGGTGACTCTCAAGGATTTTGGTGTGTTACAATGCTCCAGTGGGATTCCTTCCCAGGTAATCCTCGGAGCTCAATATACTTGTCTGTTCTTAAGGTGAAAAGCACACGCCTGCATTTTAGATGGATTAGGGATCAGCTGGTTTTCCCTGTAATAGGTAGTAAGACTACCTATAGCAGTGGTTCTCAACCCTTCTAATGCCGTGACCCCTAAATAAAGTTCCTCAAGTTGTGGTGACCCACAACCATATTTTCATTGCTACTTCATAACGGTAATTTTGCTACTCTTATGAAGCATAATGGAAATATCTGATATGCAGTATGTATTTTCATTGTTATAAATTGGACATAGTTAAAGCATAGTGACTGATCACAAAACAGTATGGACAATGGATGATGGGATTTGAAGTACCTTCAATTCACCTCTGAGTTCCACAGACCACTGAGACCCCCACAAATTATAGACCTGGAACAAACTTAGCACAAAGAGCCCCAATGACCAACAGAAAATACTGGAGGGGGCTGGGAGGAATTGATAATGATTTACGGGAGATGTAGTTCACCTACATATGGAGAGCGCTGTGAACACAAACGACTGTACATCTGGACCCAACTTGGCACAAATACTCAATATGCCCAAATTTGAACACTTCGTGACCCCCCGAAAATGGCCCAATGACCCCCCTGGGGGTCGCGACCCCCAGGTTGAGAATCGCTGACCTATAGCTTTGGAGAGCTTCTGTTCAAGCATTTCAAAGCTCCCTGCTTGAGTGGTGATGACATGATCACCGGCATAGATGAAACTTTCTCTCCCTTCTGGCAATGGCTGGTCATTTGTGTACGCTAGCCTATAAAGCCCTAAACAGTTCTGGCCCAACTTACATGTCTGAATGCATCTCCCCTTATGAACCATCTCAGACCTTAAGATCATCTGGGGAGGCCCTGCTCTCATTACCGCCTTCGTCACAAGTACATTTGGCAGAGACAAGAGACAGAGCCTTCTCAGCGGTGGCCCCTCGGCTGTGGAACACCCTTCCTATAGATATTAGATCGGCCACCTCCTTTTAATATTCCGGAAAAAAAGTCAAGACGTAGCTTTTTGAACAAGCGTTTCCAAATGCAGCATAACTGACATAAGAAAATGGAACAACGACAATGAGACCGGACAACATTTTTAACAAAGTGACACTATGAATTTATATTTTATTGATATGTTTAATTTTTATTATATGTTATGTTTTTAATTGTATTTATGATATTGTAAGCATCGAATTTTACCCTGTTAACTGCCTTGAGTCACCTACGGGCTGAGAAAGGCGGTATACAAATTACAGTAAATAAAATAAATAAATGAATAAATAAATAAATAAATGTTGAACATTGGTGGAGCAAGCATACTCCCCTGAGGCAGGCCGTTCTTCTGTTTTCACCATCTGCTTCTCTGACCCTGGAACTCAACAAAAAAGCTGACTGACACAACCTGGGGGTCAAAACCAGATACAGTGAAGACATCTACCCTTGCACTGTGGCTCTTAATGAGACATGCCGCATTATCACAGGATGTTGTAATCAATCCCTTACCTTGGCAAGCTAGCTTAGGCCTTAGAGAGTGGCCTGGCGAGAAGGGAGACAGGGAAATGCCATCTTAGGTTAGGTTTGCCTTAAGGGGGCATGTTCTAGTCTAGGAGGGAAAATCAGAAAGCTAGGATTGGTTAGGAAGATGGGGGTGGAGCGTAAATGATCTTAAGGAAAAAAGTGACTTTTAAACTGAGGCTTGAGTTCCCAGTTTGCCAGTTGGGGAGTTGGAGCTTGGAAAGGGTAGAGTGAAGACATTGGGTGTTAGCGAGAGCAGTTTGGGGTTTTGAAGAACTTTGGGTCAGTCTTTTGTTTAGTATTCAGGGTAACTATAGAGAAGTATAGCTAGAATACTGTGTGGAGCAGAACCCTGTTAGTGGTCTGTTCTTTTCCTAAGGAAGGCTAGTTGCGGTTTTTGGCTAGATTCCTAAGGGGGATTTTTGTGAGAGTTACTTTCAGAGATTCATTTCCTGAAGTAATTTTCTGTGTTGAAACTATAAGACTTGTAACCCAAAAGTTTTTGAGATCTTTTCTCAAACATAACCACAAGCTTTGTATGTCAGAAAGTTTACTGAAACCATTAAGCTTTTGTACCTGAATATTTCAAGCCTGCTTAATAAATGTTCTTGTTATTTTTACCAACTTATACCAGCCTTAGTGTGAATCCCGTTGTGGTCAAAGCATTATTCAAGTCAGCTTTTAACAGCCTCAAAGAAAACTATAGGTACACAGAGTGTATTACTGAACAACCAATCAATAATACCTCAGCCTGTTTATTAGTAATATGGTGGCAGCGGAAATCTTTTAAAGAATCATTTTAAGTCTCTCAGTTCCAGTGGTTCCCAGTTCCTCACTTTTAAATATTCAATTGGTTCAACAACCATACTCCCTCTATACTTTGGTGAGCTAGTCTGTAGTGGTGGTGTCATCGGTATAATTTGGTGAAGCAGAGTTGGGATTATTTTATATATATTTCCCCGTAAAGAAATTTTATTTAAAATCTACTCTCTCTTACTCGCTGCGTTGTTATAGATGTCTACATCCTACACCACTGGAGAAATTATACTGTTTAGCTGGTATTGCACCACCTGACATCCACTGGGAAGTAGCAACCAATAATAAAAGGACCAAGGCTGTGACATCCTTTGTTCAGATAGCCTATCCTTTGTTCAGATATCAGCCAGCAAGGCAACACCTTAAATCAAGAAATAGCTTTCTAAGATCTAGAGAGATATTCACAGGAACCCTGAGCAAGTGAGAGTTCAAAAGTGGCAGGCTAAAACTCAGAATCTCAATTGGTGGCTGAGACCAGATGAGAAATTCTCCCTGGGCACACAGAAGACTTGGAAGGCATAGAACAGGCTGCACTCAGCACCACGAGATTCAAGGCTAACCTTAAGAAATGGGGCTACAAAGTGGAGTCCACAACATGCAAGTGTGGAGAAGAGCACACCACAGACCACTGACTACAATGCAGTCTGAGCCCTACCACATGCACAATGGAAGACCTTCTTACAGTGACACCACAGGCACTCTAAGTGGTCAGCTTCTGGTCAAAGGAAATTTATAATAATGCCAAGTTTTGAACTTTGTTTGTGATGTTTTAATACGTTATAACTGTATCCTCTATTCATTTCTGGCATAATAAATGAAAAAAAAAGCATTGTTCTATGTTTGAAGTGACTTGAAAAATAAAAAACTAACAATGTTTTGGTGTTTTTTTGCAGGAAGATATTACAACAGTCACCAAACAGGGGAATATGCTGTTGTGTAGTTTAGAGGAGTATGATACGGATGATGATGCCGATGTAGAGCAACCACAGGAGAGGTCTGGAGAGTGGCAAACGGTGAACAGGTGAGTAGATCACGTTTTGGCCACCACTGCTTGAAGGTGCATCTACACTGTAGAATTAATGCAGGTTAACCTCAATGGCTCAAGGTCGCAGGTACAAATCCAGGGAGTAGCATGACCTCTTGCTAAAGCCCCAGCTTCTGACAACCTAGCAGTTCGAAAATATGCAAATGTGGGGTCACCAAAGACCATCAGAAAAGGGGTCACCAAAGACTATCAGAAAACACATATTTCTGATCATCTTAGGAACCCTTTAGGTAGAGAAGGCTGAAGATCTCTCTGCCTGTCCTTGTCTTCCTTTTTGCTGTTGGTTAACTACAACTCCCAGAATCCCCAGGAACTTCAACTCCCAAATGTCAAGGTCTATTTTCCTCAAACACCACCAGTCTTCACATTTGGGCATACTGAGTATTTGTGCCAGGTTTGGTCCAGATCCATCACTGTTTGAGTCCAGAGTGCTCTCTGGATGTGGGTGAACTACAACTCCCAAACTCCCAACACCCACCAAACCCTTCCAGTATTTTCTGTTGGTCATGGGAGTTCTGTGTGCCAAGTTTGGTTCAATTCCATCGTAGGTGGAGTTCAGAATGCTCTTTGATTGTAGGTGAACTCTAAATCCCAGAAACTACAACTCCCAAATGGCAATATCAATCCCCCCCAACCCTACCAGTATTCAAATTTGGATGTATCTGGTATTTGTGCCAAATTTGGTCTAGTGAATGAAAATACATCCTGGATATATATATATTACGATTCATAACAGTAGAAAAATTACAGTTATGAAGTAGCAATCAAAATAATGTTGTGGTTGGGGGTCGGCACAACATGAGAAACTGTACTAAGGGGTTGCGGCATTAGGAAGGTTGAAAACTGTCACCATTATCAAGTAGTAGTAGTAGTAGTAGTAATTTGGTAAATCTACATGGAAATGAGATCAAGAGCATTGAAAAACCCTCTAAATTTTCTCTGTTTCTCATAAAACAGATTGCTGGCCCAGTTGCGTGAGATGGAAACTGCTTTCGATGGATTCTGGGAGAAAAACCAGCTGAAAATGGAACAATATTTGCAGCTCTGGAAATTCGAGCAGCATTTTGAAGAGGTCAGATTTTCCACTTTTCTAAAGGATGATTTTGGTATTTTTAAAATTTCCTTTTGGTTGACTCAGACAGGAGCCTTAACAAAAGTATTTGCCTCGTATTATATTTCCTCCCTCCTTTCTCTCTTTCTTTAAATATTCTCCTTTTAGCTCAGCAAAGCCATAGGATTTTTAATGGAGCAGCAAGGGGAACTGCCCGACACCGGGGATAATATTTCCCAAGTGAAACAGAGGCTCTCAGACCTGGAGAACATCAATAAAACAGCACAGGTGAGACAATCTTTCAGAATAGACATCTCATTACAAGAAGAAAAGGGAATCTTGGGGACTGTGTTTCTCCCAGGAACAGGACAGCAGGATGGATTGTATCCAAATGAATGAAAAAAAAATGAATCCCTTAGGTTCTTGTGGGTTTTTTCGGGCTATATGGCCATGTTCTAGAGAGGCATTTTCTCCTGACATTTCGCCTGCATCTATGGCAAGCATCCTCAGAGGTAGTGAGGTCTGTTGGAATTAGGAAAATGGGTTTATATATCTATGGAATGACTGGGGTGGGGCAAAGAGCTCTTCTCTGCTGGAGCTAGGTGTGAATGTTTTAACTGACCACCTTCATTAGCATTGAAAGGCCTGGCTGAGCCTGGGGGGATCTTTTGTTGAGAGGTGTTGTTTCCTCTCTGCTGTTTTGCTGTTGTAATTTTAGAGTTTTTTTAATATTTTGAAAAACAAGCCCTGGAAACAGCAACAAAAAAGCCCACAATATGATTGAGATATGTGGATGACACTCACCATTTGGAGCCATGGAAAAGAAGAACTCAACAGGTTCCTGGACCATCTTAACAGCATCCACCCAAACATCCAGTTCACCATGGAAAAAGAAAAGGAAGGAAGATTGCCCTTTCTAGACGTCCTAGTCATCCGTAAACCAGATCAACAATTGGGTCACACCGTTTACAGAAAACCTACACACAGATAGATATCTACATAAAAACTCCAACCATCACCCAAGTCAAAAAAGAAGCACCATTAAAGCCTTGGCAGACCGTGCAAAAAGAATCTGCGAAGCCCACCTCCTCCAAGATGAACTGAACCACCTCAACTGGGCTCTCCAGGCCAATGGAGACTCCACCTCAGACATCAGAAGAGCTGCAAGACCAAGAACAAGCCACGAGAGTCAAGATGAAGATCCACCCAGAGGAAAAGTGTTCCTGCCATACATCAAGGGAACCACTGACCGCATAGGGAAGCTGATGAGGAAACATAACATACAAACAATCTACAGACCCACCAAGAAAACCCAACAAATGCTACGTTCAGCAAAGGACAAGAGGGATCCTCTCACTTCTGCAGGAGTCTACCGTATACCATGCAGCTGTGGACAAGTCTACATAGGGACCACCAAACGCAGCAGCATTGCCCAGACACGAATCAAGGAACATGAAAGGCACTGCAGACTACTTCAACCAGAGAAGTCAGCCATAGCAGAGCACCTGATGAACCAACCTGGATACAGCATATTATTTGAAAACGCAGAAATGCTGGACCACTCCAACAACCACCATGCCAGACTACACAGAGAAGCCATTGAAATCCACAAGCATGTGGACAATTTCAACAGAAAGGAGGAAACCATGAAAATGAACAAAATCTGGCTACCAGTATTAAAAAAACTCTAAAATTACAACAGCAAAACAAGAGAGGAAACAACCAGGCACATCTTAACACCTCTCAACAAAAGATTTTCCCAGGCTCAGCCAGGCCTTCAAATGCTAATGAAGGTGGTCAGTTGAAACATTCACACCTAGCTCCAGCAGAGAAGAGCTCTTTGCCCCACCCCAGCCATTCCACAGATATATAAACACATTTTCCTAATTCCAATAGACCTCACTACTTCTGAGGATGCTTGCCATAGATGCAGGCGAAACGTCAGGAGAAAATACCTCTAGAACATGGCCATATAGCCCGAAAAAACCCACAAGAACCTAGTGATTCCAGCCATGAAAGCCTTCGACAATACAATGAATCCCTTCTTTAGGTCTTGGATGTAATAGAGTCTCAGGGACAGATTTTAAAAATATTGGTGTCTTCGGTGAAGGTTGGGCTGGGCTTTAGCACAGCTGGTAAATAATAATAATGATAATGATAATAATAATAATAATAATAATAATAATAATAATAATAATAATAATGTTCCGTCTTCCAGGAGCATAGTTTGCATTACCTTTAAGTTGCATGGGATAGTGTTCTTTTGCATTTCCCCGGGGTTGCTATAGACCCAGCAGCTGCCTGGAAGTTAAACAGTATCAGAGTCTGCAAAGCCAGCCTCCAGACTCTCTGCAGTTATTGGTTTAGAAAGTATCTCTTTGGGTGTAGAGACCGCCCTTTTTCCAGGGGATGAGGTCTCCATTTTGGAATCTCCCCTGCCTCCTTCAGTAGAGAAAGAAAGCTTCAGATGTGCTGTTGGTCAGGCAGGTAGCTCTGAAAAAATCATTGTAAGTATGATTGAGTTAAATAGATAAAGAAGCTAATTGAGATAGATAGATAGATAGATAGATAGATAGATAGATAGATAGATAGATAGATAGATAGATAGATAGGATAGCAATTGAGATATGATTGAGTATTATTGGGTCTAATTGAGATAGCAAGTGAGCAATTGAGTTATAGATAGATATCGAGTTATTGAATATTATTGAGCATTACTTCATCTCCAAAGCTAACCTTGAGCTATAGATAGGGAAAAAACTGTTTTTTCTAACCATAGCAGCTCAGGGTTAGGGTGAAAGGATCCCAGGATATTTTCTACCATTTGGGGAAGAGTTACCTCAGTAACTGAAGGAAAAAGAAAGATCATCTCTATGGTTTACCAATGGACTGTTTTGTTTGTAATTTTGACAAGCTGTGCCACGTCTGCAAGGACTTTGAGAAATAAATATTCTGTTTTGATGTTCCAAACCTGAAATGGCCTCAGTTGCTGAGAATTTTTGAGCTTCTAAAGAAAGACCCCCGCAGTCCGCCCAGACAAAGAGAGAAGCACATCTTAGTTTTCATTTTATAGGATCTGGGTGTGACGGCACAAATAATAATAATCTTTATTTATACCATCTCCCCGATGGGGACTCGGAGCGGCTTACATGGGGACAACATATTACAGCAATAAAATCAAAACATAAACAATAAACAACATCATCAAAGTACATTAATCATAATAATAAGAAAAAAGCAGTCTTAAAATAACATTCTAATAAACACAATCACAATAACGATAACAGTGGGTGGGCCACATGTACAGGATAAAACAATTTAAAAACTGTGATGAGAAAATAGGAGCAAGATATTTTTGGGGATTTATGAGGTTGAACTTCCCATTTGGGGGGCAACAATCACCGACAATGATAAGATCTACCAACTGAAAGGTTGATCGTTCGAAGCTCCGGCTCATCATGAGCTCCCGAGTATCAGCCCAACTCACTGTTTATCTAAGCAGTTCGAAAACAACTTAGAGCTGTAAGTAGAGAGCCCGGCAACCAAAAGGAAGGAGGAAGTCCTGATGGCTCTTTGTCATAGAGGATGGAGTAACACCGCCCCCCTATGGCTGGATTTTAACATCACTTCCAAGGTGCCAAAAAGCTGGACATCGACACCACATACCTCCTTTCTGTTCAGTTCTTTTCTGTCTTGTCTCTGTCCTGACTATTCACAATGGCATTGAATGTTTGTCATGTATGTATATTGTGATCTGCCCTGAGTCCCCTTGGACTTGTTGTTGTTATTATTATTATCCAACCCTTCAGACAAAGGCTAAACACACAAAAGGTGCCTGATCTCATCTAATCTCAGAAGCTTAGCAGGGTCGATCCTGGTCAGTTCTTGGATGGGAGACAGTCAAAGGCACATCTGGGTCTTCTTTGCCGAAGAAAACCCTAGAAAATCCATGGGGTCACCATACATCCATAGACAACTTTCCCTGACAAACCGCAGACTGGAATTCCCAGGGAATGAGGTTCCCTTTTAGAACTGTCACTTCCAGAATCACCTGGCTGGAGGGTTCTTGAACTGGCAGTCCAGAAAGAAGAACCTTTCTCAAACCCAGAAAGACTGCCAATGGATATCAGCCATTGTAGGCTCCATCTCAGAGGAAGGATCTGGCCAAACCACCTTGTGTCCTTGCCAAAGAAAAAACTATCAAATCCATGGGGTCACCATAAGTCCACAGGTGACCTGAAGACACAGATACTCTTCTATCATAGATAATGTAGAGCAGTGGTTCTCAACCTTCCTAATGCCACAACCCCTTAATACAGTTCCTCATGTTGTGGTGACCCCCAACCATAACATTATTTTTGTTGCTTCTTCATAACTGTAATGTTGCTACTGTTATGAATCTTAATGTAAATATCTGATATGCAGGATGTATTTTCATTCACTGGACCAAGTTTGGCACAAATAACCGATACACCCAAATTTGAATATTGATGGGGTTGGGTTTGCTTTTGTCATTTGGGAGTTGTAGTTGCTGGGATTTATAGTTCGTTTGTGGGATTAACAGAACTCAAAAACCAATGGGCCAATTGACACCAAATTTGGACAGCATACATGTTGAGATTAACTTCACAATTCAGCAGCAGATCAGTTGCACAACTTCAGCACTTTCCAATAGCTTCTTCCTGCACAGTATTTTCAGTCAACTGCTCCCACAGCCTGCAGTCACTCTGGAACCTTTTACAGACACTTGAGCACATGCCCGGCCATTGTCAGTTTTACCATTGTCTTTCCCCCAGTATAAATGATATTATAAACTCACCACAGCATACAATTATATCTTGTCTTTGCAGAAAGGTTCTTTTAATTACATAGAGCCTTTGACGAACAACATCACAACACAAGGAGAAATATACACTGTACATGACTTCCTTATATACAATTCTATACAATTACACATAGCAATCTCTGATTGGTTCCCAACTCATTAACTTAACTCAGACCCAGGATTACATCATTCACAATAACCTGGACTAGGCCAGAACACATTCCCCAAATGATCCCCTATATACAATTAATGCATGACTCAGCATTCCCAATAGAAGCCTATTAGCAGTGCATGACTCAGCTATATTACATTGCAATACATTGTAAAACCTGACAATACACCTAACTACCCAATGTATGTCCTTCACTCAAAATTTTTTGATTTTGTCATTTGAGAGTTGTAGTTGCTGGGATTTATAGTTCACCTACAATCAAAGAGCATTCTGAACTCCACCAATGGTGGAATTGAACCAAACTTGGCACACAGAACTTCCTTGACTAACAGAAAATGCTGGGAGGGATTGGTGGGCATTGACCTTTTAGTGATTTGGAGGTTTTTTTGTCATATCAGAAGTGACTTGAGAAACTGCAAGTTGCTTCTGTTGTGAGGGAATTGGCCGTCTGCAAGGACGTTGCCCAGGGGACGCCCAGATGATTGGATGTTTTTATCATCCTTGTGGGAGGCTTCTCTCATGTCCCCACATGAGGAGCTGGAGTTGATAGAGGGAGCTCATCCACCTCTCCCCGGATTTGAACCTGCGATTTGTCGGTCTTCAGTCCTGCCAGCACAGGGGCTTAACCCACTGGGCATTTTGGAGTTGTAGTTCACCTCCATCCAGAGAGCACTGTGGACTCAAACAATGATGGATCGGGACCAAACTTGGCAGGAATACTCAATATGCCTAAATGTGAACACTGGTGGAGAAAACAGACCTTGAGATTTGGGGATTTATAGTTCACCTGCAACCAAAGAGCTTTCAAACTCCAACAACAGAACCAAACTTGGCAGACTCCCTTGACTAACAAAATACTGGGAGGGTTTGGTGGGCATTGACCTTGAGTTTGGGAGTTGTAGTTCACCTACATCCAGAGAGCACTGTGAACCCCAGCAATAGCTTTGGGCCAAACTTCCCACACAGAACCCCCATGACCAACAGAAAATACTGTGTTTTCTGATGGTCTTTTCCGACCCCTCTGACACCCTTCATGACCCCCCGCCATGGGTCCCGACCCCCAGGTTGAGAAACAGCAATCTATTGAAATAATTCTATTTCTCTTTCCAATGCTTTTGACTTTTCTACCAAAGGACTTGACTGGAAAGGCTCAAGTGACCATCCTCCATGGACATCAACTGGCTGCTAACCACCACTATGCCCTCAACCTGATCTGCCAGCAATGCAATGAGCTGCGGTACCATTCAGATGTCTTGCTGGAAGAGATCAAAAGGAAATGCAACCGGCTGCAGAAGACCCTGGACCTCCTCACCCTATTGCAGCAGGTAGTGAAATGCAGTGATCTCCATCCTGGTGCCTTTTTCATTGGGCTGAGCACACTGGGCGGTTTTGACATCATCAGTAACTGACATTGAAGTGTTCCCTTGGCAGTTCTAATCCAGCTCATTGACTTTGCTTCTACCAGTACTTTGTTTTGTGTATTTTCTCTCCATTAGGCTCTGGAGTGTTGTGATGATGGTGCCTATCTGTTAGCTAACCAACCAATGGATAAATGCCAGTCTCGAGAAGGTGCCCAGAATGCTCTCCAAGATATTGAGAAGTTCCTTGAGAGCTCTTCGCCACATTTAAATGCTGATCCCCAAACCCTGTATTCCGAGTTTGACCTCATTTTAACACCTGAACTCAAGGTAATAATAATAATAATAATCATCATCATCATCTTTATTTCTACCCCACTACCATCTCCCCAAGGGACTCAGTGCGGCTTACATAAGGCCGAGCCCACAATACAGCTATATAAATAAAAATGTAATCTTCGTTTGTGGGATTGACATAACTAAAAAACCACTGGACAAATTGACGCCAAATTTGGCCACAAGACACCTACTAACCCACGGAGTGACCACCACTCAAAAAACCCTGATTTTATCAATTGGGAATTGTAGTTGCTGGGATTTATAGTTCACCTACAATCAAAGAGCATTCAGAACTCCATCAATGATGGAATTGAACCATATGTGGCACACAGGACTCCCATGACCCAACAGAAAACACTAGAAGGGGTTGGTGGGCATTGACCTTTAGTTTGGGAGTTGTAGTTCCCCTACATCCAAAGAGCATTGTGGACTCAAACAATGAGGGATCTGGACCAAACTTGACACAAAAATTCCATATGCCTAAATATGAACACAGATGGAGTTTGGAGGAAATAGACCTTGACATTTGGGATTTATAGTTACTGAGATTTATAGTTTACCTACAATCAAAGAGCATTCTGAAACCTACAAATGACAGAAATGAGGCAAACTTCCCACACAGAACCCCCATGACCAACAGAAAATACTTAAGGCCATCCAGCCCAACTCCCTTCATCAGGGAAGGAAATGTAATCAAAGCCCTCCTGACAAAGAGCCGTCCAGCCATAGAGAGAGATAGATATGATTCACACACACACAAATATAGTGTCATAGATCTGAAAGGGACCCTTAAAGAAGGACAATGGTATCTTGCATGTTTCAGGGTGGGCAAACCAGACAATCTCCACCTCAACACTGACAAAGAAACAGCAAGAAATACTGTTTACCCACAAGCATAAAGAAATATTAGAAACCAACACTTTCTCATTACTTTATTTTTCAGATCAACAGACTGGGCCACAGCAACACGTGGCAGGGGACAGCTAGTGTATTTATATATGGCTATCATATCTCCTCTCAGCTTTCTCTTATTCAGGCTAAACATGCCCAGCTTTTTAAGCCGCTCCTCATAGGGCTTGTTTCTCCAGACCCTTGATCATTTTAGTCGCCCTCCTAGAAGTTCTTTAGACTTCTCTGCCAAAGAATGCTGATATGACTACATCTCCCAAGGTTCGATAGCATAGAGCCATGGCAGTTCAAGTGGTGTCAAGCTACATTCATGAAACAGTGTAGATGCAGCCTTAGATGCAATAGTGTCACTGCTTGTTTACTGACATCTCCTTTGGTGTTCCTCAGGCCCGGATCCAGATGGTCCAAATCAAATTGGAGAACGTGCGGAGCATGTTCGAGAACAGACAGGCTTGCTTCAGAAAGCTGGTGGACAAGCAAGCCCGCCCCGTGCAGCTCGTGGCCCCGCGGCCTGAAAACCCGCCTCGGTCGAGATCGCCCTTGTTTTCTCCCAAACATGGTAACATGTTAATGAGTTACGCCATCCAGAAATGGTTGTGAGTGAACCTTTGCGGGGGGGGGGGGGGACCTTGGAAAGGGCCATGAGGAAATGGAGACACAAGGCAGGGGGAGGTGGAGGGGAGCACTAACTATGGAAGGTACCTGTTGGCTTGTTCCTGTGATGTCAACAACCCGCTTTCTCCCCTCCAAAAATACCTCTTGCAAAATGACAATTATTTAGATTTTTGCTTGGAATGGTACGCAAGTTATCCACTTGGCAGTTTGCATTACTTATTCTTTGCCTTGTTTACAATTGGCTGCCTTCTCTTGCCTCTTCCAATGCTAAAGGTGTGGATATTGTTTTGCATGGTGGCATGCCATTTTTATGTTATTGCTCTCCCCTTTGTGGTCCCAGCAATCAAACTGTTAAGCCGCTAATTATGCATGTGTTTTTAATTGTTCCAATCTGAGAAAACAATCGGATTGTGGAGGTGAAAACTGGAGAGGGCTCCTGTGACTTTAATAGCTGGCTGCCTGTCACTAGCCAAAATTATTATTTATTTATTATTTATTTAAAACACTTATATTCCGCCATTCTCACCCCGAAGGAGACTCAGAGCGGAGCACAACATGTACATGGCAAACATTCAATGCCTGGGTACAATACATAAACATTAAAAAACATTTATCTAAATATTAGAATACACCATTTAAAATAACACAATTTAAAACCATCCTAGCCATCAGCATCAAATCCAATTGGCCCTGTCATCTTTCCCATTGTCGCTTCATTGCCCTGTCCCGAATGCTTGGTCCCACAGCCATGTTTTGACCATCCTTCTAAAGGACAGGGGGGAGGGGGCCGACCTGATCTCACCAGGAAGGGAGTTCCATAGCCGGGGAGCAATCACCGAGAAGGCCCTGTCTCTTGTTTCCTGTGACAATGGCAAGATGGAAAGCAGGGCCTCCCCGGACATGGTAACATGTTTAAGACCCGGAGGATCTTAATCTCCATGATGGTACATAGAGGGAGATTCGTTTGGACAGGTAATTTGGACCGGGGCGGTTTAGGGCTTTATAGGCCAAAGCCAGCACTTTGAATTGTGCCCGGTAGCAAACTGGCAGCCAGTGGAGCTGGCGTAACATGGGAGTTGTATGCTCCCTGTATGCCGCCTCAGTTATTAACCTGGCTGCCTCTCGTTGGACTATTTGAAGCTTCCGAGCAGTCTTCAAAGGCAACCCCACGTAGAGTGCGTTGCAGTAGTCTATCCTAGATGTAACGATAACGTGGACCACCATGGCCAAGTCTGACTTCCCAAGGTACGGGGATTCCAGGCTCAGTGACGAATCCAGGAGAACTCCCAAGCTGCGAACCTGTGTCTTCAAGGGGAGTGTGACCCCGTTCAGCACAGGTTGCGACCCTATACCCTGTTCGGCCTTGCGACTGACCAGGAGGACCTCTGTCTTGTCTGGATTCAACTTCAGTTTGCTCGCCCTCATCCAGACCATCACAGTGGTTCAGGACTTGGACAGCCTCCTTAGCATCAGGTGGAAATGAGTGATAGAGTTGGACGTCATCTGCATACAGATTGCGTCGAACACCAAAACTCCGGATGATCTCACCCAGTGGCTTTATGGAGATGTTAAACAACACGAGGGACAATACTGAGCCCTTTAGGACCCCACAGGACAATGGCTGTGGGGCCGAGCAGGAGTCCGCCAGCAACACCTTCTGGGTACGACCCTCCAGGAAGGACTGGAGCCACTGCAGAACAGGACCTGCAAGACCCATCAAGGCGCCCCAGAAGGATACCGTGGTCTACGGTATCGAAGGCCGCTGAGAGGTCCAGGAGAACCAACAGGGACACACTCCCCCTGTCAAGCTCTCTGCGGAGATCATCCACTATGGCTGGTCTGAAACCCAACTGCGATGGATCCAGATATTTGTGAGAGCACTGTGACTCCCACCGATGATGGATCTGGACCAAACTTGGCACATGGACTTCCCATGACCAACAGAAAATAATGGATTTTGGGAGTTATAGTCCATCCCACATCCATACTGGTGGGATGTGGAGGATGGACTCAAGATGATGGGAGCTGCAATCTTCCCACATCCAGAGATCACTGTGAACTCCACATATGACGGATCTGGACCAAACTTGGCACATGACCAACAGAAAATAATGGATTTTGGGAGTTATAGTCCATCCCACATCCATACTGGTGGGATGTGGAGGATGGACTCAAGATGATGGGAGCTGCAATCTTCCCACATCCAGAGATCACTGTGAACTCCACATATGACGGATCTGGACCAAACTTGGCACATGACCAACAGAAAATAATGGATTTTGGGAGTTATAGTCCATCCCACATCCATACTGGTGGGATGTGGAGGATGGACTCAAGATGATGGGAGCTGCAATCTTCCCACATCCAGAGATCACTGTGAACTCCACATATGACGGATCTGGACCAAACTTGGCACATGACCAACAGAAAATAATGGATTTTGGGAGTTATAGTTCATCCCACATCCATACTGGTGGGATGTGGAGGATGGACTCAAGATGATGGGAGCTGCAATCTTCCCACATCCAGAGATCACTGTGAACTCCACATATGACGGATCTGGACCAAACTTGGCACATGGACCTCCCATGACCAACAGAAAATAATGTCGAGCTCTCTGCGGAGATCATCCACTAAGGCGACCATGGCTGTCTCAGTTCCATGTCCTGGTCTGAAACCGGACTGTGACGGATCCAGATAATCAGTTTCGTCCAAGAATCCCTGGAGCTGCGAGGCAACCACACGTTCCAAGACTTTGCCCACAAAGGGAAGAGCAATAAAATAAAAATGGCATTTTCCCTTAAAGGTACAGGAACCCACTCTCAATCTGGTAACCTTAGAAACTAGAACCAGGGTTTGCTTACATTCAGAGCAATGGTTCAAAGGATTGCAAACACTGTAGTTCTTTGCAACAAGTTACGACTTGGACCCCCAAATTTTCCAGTTAAAATATAGATTTTGGGATATACTCGCCGTATAAGACTACCCCTCTTCCAACGCACACCAAATAAATTTTTAAAAGCATCAGATTTGATTTCAATATGGTAATTTTCCTATTACTGTACCTCCTTCTCTGCCTCTCAGATCTCGCACATGCGCACTGCACCACTTCACTACAGTCTTCAGGAGCGAGATCTGAGAGGCAGAGGAGGAGGTATGGTAATAGGATACAAGGGTGGGCCAGACAGGTAAAAGAATTGTGTTTTTCTGGGCCCAGAGCCACTCTATCTCTTTTTTCCATATCACGGGCACCCCGGATGCCTGCAGCTTGCTCCGCCCTTCACTTACACCTTCCCGGTGAGGCGCCCCTTCACCTCACCATCGGGACCGCATTAAGTCCACGAATCCTGATGAATGGATTTTCTTCTACCGTACTTGTACAGCATCCCTTAATGCTTTCATACAGTCGCTGCATATGGCAGGGACGCGGCCACTGCCATTTTTGAGCTCCCCCCACAATATGCAGCAACCACAGATTCTCCAATCCGGATTGGAAGTTTCAGCACTCACTCTATAAAAGACTCCCGACATATAAGACTACTCTCGTGAGAACTTTAAGATCATCTGGAGAGGCCCTGCTCTCGGTCCCGCCATCATCACAAGTACGGTTGGTGGGAACAAGAGACAGGGCCTTCTCAGTGGTGGCCCCTCAGCTATGGAACGCCCTTCCTAGAGACATCAGATTGGCTTCCTTGCTCCTATCATTCCGGAAGAATCTTAAGACATGGCTATATGTTTGATTTTATTGTTACTGATGTTTTTATATTGTATATTGTAATCGTGTCCTTGGTGGCATTGAATTCTTGCCTGGTAAACCGCCTCAAGTTGTCGGAAGGCTGACTACCTCACTATCTCTGAGGATGCTTGCCATAGATGCAGGCGAAACGTCAACTACAACTCCCAAATGACAAAATCAATTTTTTTGAGTGAAGGACATACATTGGGTTGTTAGGTGTCTTGTGTCCAAATTTGGCGTCAATTCATCCAGCGGTTTTTGAGTTCTGTTAATCCCACAAACGAACATTATATTTTTATTTATATAGATTAGCTGCTCCCGCCACGCGTTGCTGTGACAAACATTCCCTCCCTCTTTCTCTCCTTCTTTCTTTCTCTCCTTCCTTCCCTCCCTCTTTCCTTCTTTCCCTCTTTTTCTTTCTCTTCTTCTTTCTTCCTTCTCTACCTGTTTCTTTTCTCGCTTCCTTTGCTGTTTGGGTTCATCCTTCCTTGTCTCTTTCCTTCCTTCCTTCCTTCCCTCTTTCTTTCCTTCTTTCCTTCCTTCCTTCTTTCACTTTTTTATTTCCTTCTCTCTTTCCTTCCTTCTCTACCTTTCTTTCCTTCTCTCCTTCTTTCCCTCTTCCTCTCTTTCCTTCCTTCTCTACCATGCTTTCTTTCTTTCCTTCCCTCCCTCCTTCTTTCCCTCTTTCTCTCCCTCCTTTCTTCTCTATCTTTCTTTCTTTCTTTCTTTCCTTCTTTCTCTCCTTTCCTCCTTGTTTATTTACTTTATTTGTATACCGCAGTTTCTCATCCCGTAGGCTTCTTCTTTCCCTCTTTCTCTCCCTCCCGTTTCTTGTCGTTTTACTTGCCCGCTGGGCTCGTGTAGAGGGAGGCAGGCAGACGGCAGTGCGCATGCGGAGGGAGATTTGGACGCGGGGGAAGCTGGGAAATGGAGTCCTTCCTCATCGTATTCCACCCGAGGCCTCTACGCATGCTCCGTGTTTTTTGGGTATTGTGCGTTTGTGTTGTTGCGTATTGGTGTTTTGAGGGTTGTTGGTCATACCTTGGGGGAAGAGGTATTAGCAGGGCAAATGTGGTGAGATTTCGTCTGGTGGTTTAGCCGTTTTTGACCACCTAATTACGACCTTAAGGTTCTTATATATATAGATACACACACAAGATACATTTACACAGACTGGGCCACAGCAATGCGTGGCAGGGGACGGCTAGTATACAATATAATAAGCAATCTGAATTATATACATAACAAATAACTAGGATAGGAGGTTTGTAGAAGGTTGCTGTTTCCAATAGACAATGCCTTCTTTTTAAAGTCTTGCACTACGAAGATGATGTTCCTATTAAAAAAGTAACTTTCCGTGCTCTCTAGTACTAACTTTTGGATCAAAAGGGCGCTCGGCTGTGATGCAGCAATGCTTTCCTTGCATTTTCCACTGTTCCCTGCACCTTCCTGGAAACCTCCCAGTAACCCAATCCCGGGCACTTTTCCCTTCCTTAAGATGCTGATTGACATCAATGAGACCTGTGGGAATAGTAATTTTATTTTTTTAATCGTCTTATTTTTGCAACAGCACCGTTTGAAGACGATGCCCCTTCTCTTCATATCTGTTTGCATTCCTCTGCATCCGTTTTTCTCCCTACATCTTTTGCCCATTGCGTCATCAAAGGTGCTTCTTCTCTATACCTGATATTCAACACTAGTCTTTAACCAAAAGGTCAATACAACCTAGATACCCTTCTCCTTTTTTTTTTAGATCCATACGTTTGTGATGATAATGATCATGGAGATTAATTCAGAAGGTTGCTATTCATTAATTATATGCTAACTGTATTCAACAATTCAAGGAAAAGGCAATGGTTAAGATTGCTGGTAGCTACATCTATACCAGTGTTTCTCAACTTGAGGGGGTCACGAGGGGGTTTTCAGAGGGGTTGCCAAAGACCACCAGAAAACACAGTGTTTTCTGTCGGTCATGGGGGTTCGGTGTGGGAATTTTGGCCCAATTCTATCATTGGTGGGGTTCAGAATGCTCTTTGATTGTCGATGAACTATAAATCCCAAACTACAACTCCCAAATGTCAAGGTCTATTTTCCCTAAACTCCACCAGTATTCCCATTTGGGCATATTGAGTATTTGTACCAAGTTTGGTCCAGATCTGTCATTGTTTCAATCCACAGTGCTCTCTGAATGTAGGTGAACTACAACTCCCAAACTCGAGGTCAATACCCACCAAACCCTTCCAGTATTTTCTCTTGGTTATGGGTGTTCTGTGTGCCAAGTTTGGTTCAGTTCCATCATTGGTGGAATCCAGAATGCGCTTAGATTGTCAATGAACTATAAATCCCAGCAATGACAACTCCCAAATGTCAAGGTCTATTTTCCCTAAACTCAACCAGTGTTCCCATTTGGGCATACTGAGTATTTGTGCCAAATTTGGACCAGATCTGTCATTGTTTCAATCCACAGTGCTCTCTGAATGTAGATGAACTACAACTCCCAAATTCAAGGTCAATGCCCACCAAACCCTTCTAATATTTTCTGTTGGTTATGGGTGTTCTGTGTCCCAAGATTGGTTCAATTGTATCATTGGTGGGGTTCAGAATGCTCTTTGATTGTCGATGAACTATAAATCCCAGCAATGACAACTCCCAAATGTCAAGGTCTATTTTCCCTAAACTCCACCAGTGTTCCCATTTGGGCATATTGAGTATTTGTACCAAGTTTGGTCCAGATCTGTCATTGTTTCAATCCACAGTGCTCTCTGAATATAGGTGAACTACAACTCCCAAACTCGAGGTCAATGCCCACCAAACCCTTCCAGTATTTTCTGTTCTATACTTTATGCTCAATGCTATGGATTCATGGGAGTAATAGTTTCACAAGGTCTTTAGCCTTCTTTGGTGCTTCACCAAACGACAACTCTTAGGATTCTATAGCATTAATAGCTGCTTTTTTCGTGTCAGGAGTGATTTGAGAAACTGCAAGTTGCTTCTGGTGTGAGAGAATTGGCCGTCTGCAAGGACGTTGTCCAGGGGACGCCCGGATGGTTTGATGTTTTACTATCCTTGTCCCTACATTGGGAGCTGGAGCTGACAGAGGGAGCTCATCCGTGCTCTCCTCAGATTCGAACCTCCAACTTTTCGGTCTTTAGTCCTGCTGGCCCAAGGGTTTAACCCATTGTGCCACCGGGGGCTCCTAAAGTGGTGTCAAACTGCATTAATTATACAGTGTAGATGCACCCTAGATCAGTGGGCAAAGGAATCTTGCCTGGATTTTAGTCTGAAGAGTCATCAGCTTGGCTATCTTCTTTGAAGTTCAGACTAAAGCTAGGAGCTGTTTTACTTCCCAGTGATCGAACTAAATGTCTTCAGTGTGATTTCCCTGTACGTCTTAACTTTCTTGTAGAATTGTGTTACTTTGGGTCAATTTTATAACAGGTGCTGTTTTGTAGAATGAGTTTGTTGTGTTTAATGGTATTATTATTATTATTATTATTATTATTATTATTATTATTAACGGTATTATTAAAAACTTAATTTATATTCCCATTTTTTGTTGCAGTTAATGTTTTTCTGCATAATTCTATCGTTGGTGGGGTTCAAAATGCTCTGTGATTGTAGGTGAACTATAAATCCCAGCAACTACAACTCCCAAATGTCAAGATTCTATTTTCCCCAAACTCCACCAGTGTTCATATTTGGGCATATTGAGTATTCGTGTAGAGTTTGGTCCAGATCTATCATTGCTTGAGTCCACAATGCTCTACCTGGATGTAGGTGAACTACAACTCCAACACCAAAGGACACTGCCCACCAAACCCTCCCAGTATTTCCTATTGGTCATGGGAGAACTGTGTGCCAAGTTTGGTTCAGTTCCATCGTTGGTGGGGTTCAGAATGCTCTTTGGTTGTAGGTGAACTATAAATCCCAGCAACTACAACTCCCAAATGTCAAGATTCTATTTTCCCCAAACTCCACCAGTGTTCACATTTGGGCATATTGAGTATCCGTGTAGAGTTTGGTCCAGATCTATCATTGTTTGAGTCCACAGTGCTCTCTGGATGTAGGTGAACTACAACTCCAAAACCAAAGGGCACTGCCCACCAAACCCTTCCAGTATTTTCTGTTGGTCATGGGAGAACTGTGTGCCAAGTTTGGTTCAATTCCATCGTTGGTGGGGTTCAGAATGCTCTTTGATTGTATATGAACTATAAATCCCAGCAACTAAAGGTAAAGGCCTTTACCTTTAGTTGCTGGGATTTATAGTTCATATACAATCAAAGAGCATTCTGAACCCCACCAACGATGGAATTGAACCAAACTTATATGAAGTATAAATCCCAGCAACTACAACTCCCAAATGTCAAAATGCTATTTTCCCCAAGCTCCACCAGTGTTCACATTTGGGCATATTGAGTATTCTTGTAGAGTTTGGTCCAGATCCATCATTGTTTGAGTCCACAGTGATCTTTGGAAGTAGGTGAACTACAACTCCAAACTCAATGCCCACCAAAGCCTTTCAGTCTTTTCTGTTGATCATGGGAGTCCTGTGTGCCAAGTTTGGTTCAATTCCATTGTTGGTGGAGTTCAGAATGCTCTTTGATTGATTGTAGGTGAACTATAAATCCCAGCAACTACAACTCCCAAAAGACAAAATCAATTTTTTTTGAGTGATGGACATACATTGGGTTGTTCGGTGTAGCGTGTCCAAATTTGGTGTCAATTCCCCCAGTGGTTTTTGACTTCTGTTAATCCCACAAACGAACATTACATTTTTATTTATATAGATATAGTGGTATTTCTACATATTATAACCAATGCATTATGATTCTTTTTTTTATGTCCAAGGTGTAGATTTTAATTCCAGTTTGAAATTTTCCTTTGATATCTCGCTGCCTGGGAAGAAAACTTCGCGGAAATCTCCAAGTTCCCGTAAGGTATGTAAATAATTACTCAAAGAGAGAGAGACTGTTAGCTTATTGATTAACTTGCGGTTAGCACAGTGGCTTAAACCACCAGCAACAGAAAATCTTGTCTACCAGAAGGTTGGCAATTCAAGCCGAAGGTCAGGGTGAACTCCTGCCGTCAGCCCTAGCTTCTGTTTACCTAGCAGGTCAAAAATGGTAATGTGAGTAGATAAATAGATATTGCTTTGGTGGGGAGTAAAAAGACATATATAACGACCAGGCACCACCTAAATATATATAACGCGGCTCACCAAAAATATGAAGCCGTCAAAAGGAAGAGGGAATATGGTTGGAAAACAGTTGTATAGATTTAAATTTCCCTTTATCTAGTTGTTGAAATATATCCCACTGAAATATAACAATATCAGGGGAGTTTAGCACAGAGAAGGGGAGAGACACTTAGTATTTTAAAAGGTAGGAACTGGGAAACACTAGAACTTGAGAGATTTAAAATGATTCTTCAAATGAATTCCGCTGCCACCATTCCAATAATAATCAGGCTGAGGTAATATTGTGAGGTTGTTCTGTAACACACACTGGGCCACTATAGTTTCTTAGTGGCTGCTGTGAAACTGACTTTAAGAATATTTTGACCATGAAGGTACACACACTGAGGCTGGTATAAGTTAATAAAAGAACAAGAATGTTTATTGAACAGGTTTGAATAATAGGCTTGTAATCCACTCTGGGGAGGTAGAGCGGAATATAAATAAAGTATACTACTTACTAGCTGTACCCTCCCTTTTCCTCTCCTTCCTTTTCTTCCTTCCCTTTTCTTCCTTCCTTCCTTCTCTACCTCTTTACTTCCTTCCCCCATTTTTCTTTTCCTTCCTCTTCCTCTCCTTTCTTCCTTCTCTACCTTTTCTTCCATCCTTCTTCCCTTTTCTTTCCTTCCTCCTTCTTCCTTCACTCCCTCTTTCCTTCCTCCCTTATTTTCTTTCCTCTTTCCTTCCTTCTCTATCTTTCCTTCCTTCCCTTTTGTTCCTTCTCTCCTTCTTCTCCTCCTTCCTTTTCTTTCTTCCTTCCTCTTTCTTTCCCTTCCCACCCTCCTCCCTCTTCCTTCCTTCCTTCCTTTCTCTTCCTTCCCTTTTCTTCCTTCCTTCCTTCCCTACCTCTTTACTTCCTTCCCCATTTTTCTTTACCTTCCTTTTTCTCTGCTTCCTTCCTTTACGTTTTGCTTCCATCATTCTTACTCTTTTCTTTCTTTCCTTCCTTCCCTTTCTTCCTTCTCCTTCCTTCACTCTCTCTTTCCTCCCTTCCCTTATTTTCTTTCCTTCTCTCCTTTTTTCTCTACATCTTTCCTTCCTTCCCCTTTTGTTTTCCTTCTTTTTCCTCTCCTTCCTTCCTTTGCTCTTTGCTTCCATGTTCTTTCTTTCTTTCTTTCTTTCTTTCTTTCTTTCTTTCTTTCTTTCTTTCTTTCTTTCTCCCTTCCTTCCTTCCTTCCTTCCTTTCTTTCTCCCCTTCCTTCCCTTTTTTTCTGTATTGTCATTTAGCTTTTCATCATTTAGCTTTTGGGTTTTTTTAGTCCTTTCCACTGTTTTTTTTTTGGGGGGGGGGGAGTTATGAGTGATGGTCACTCGTTGGTCTGTTGGAAGTATAGTGTCCAAATTTAGTGTCAATTCATCCAGTGGTTTTTGAGTTATGTTAATCCCACAAACGAACATTACATTTTTATGTATATAGATAGAGTAACATATTGATATCCCACATTTCATCTAAAGGTTGCATATCATCATCCAGTAAAAATTAGCTGACTGATTTAATTGTGTCGTGTTTTCCCCCAGATTGAAGTCATGCACGATTATCAAGAGAAAAGGAATTCCTTGCAGCTTTGCATTTCAGAAAGCGAAGACAATTTAGATATTTTGAAAAGGTAATCCTTCACCTCCTCTTGTGCTTTCTCTTCATTTTACTGTTTGGAAAGTAAACATCTGTTCAGGATCTTTATTAATGACTTAGATGAAGGGCTAGAAGGCAGGATCATCAAGTTTGCAGACGACACCAAATTGGGAGGGATAGCCAATACTCCAGAGGACAGGAGCAGGATTCAAAACAATCTTAACAGATTAGAGAGATGGGCCAAAACTAACAAAATGAAGTTCAACAGTGACAAATGCAAGATACTCCACTTAGGCAGAAAAAACGAAATGCAAAGATACAGAATGGGGGACAATGCCTGGCTCGAGAGCAGTACGTGTGAAAAAGATCTTGGAGTCCTCGTGGACAACAAGTTAAACATGAGCCAACAATGTGATGTGGCAGCAAAAAAAGCCAATGGGATTTTGGCCTGCATCAATAGGAGCATAGTGTCTAGATCTAGGGAAGTAATGCTACCCTCTATTCTGCTTTGGTTAGACCACACCTGGAATATTGTGTCCAATTCTGGGCACCACAATTCAAGAGAGATATTGACAAGCTGTAATGTGTCCAGAGGAGGGCAACTAAAATGATCAAGGGTCTGGAGAACAAGCCCTATGAGGAGCAGCTTAAGGAGCTGGGCATGTTTAGCCTGAAGAAGAGAAGGCTGAGAGGAGATATGATAGCCATGTATAAATATGTGAGAGGAAGCCACAGGGAGGAGGGAGCAAGCTTGTTTTCTGCTTCCCTGGAGACTAGGACAAGGAACAATGGCTTCAAACTACAAGAGAGGAGATTCCATCTGAACATGAGGAAGAATTTCCTGACTGTGAGAGCCGTTCAGCAGTGGAACTCTCTGCCCCGGAGTGTGGTGGAGGCTCCTTCTTTGGAAGCTTTTAAACAGAGGCTGGATGGCCATCTGTCAGGGGTGATTTGAATGCAATATTCCTGCTTCTTGGCAGGGGGTTGGACTGGATGGCCCATGAGGTCTCTTCCAACTCTATGATTCGAGTTCAACATCTAGTCTAAGAAGCAGGAAAATTGCATTCAAAGCACCCCCAATAGATGGCCATCCAGCCATCCAGAACTTCCTGACTGTGAGAGCCATTCAGCAGTGGAACTCTCTGCCCTGGAGTGTGGTGGAGGCTCCTTCTTTGGAGGCTTTTAAATAGAGGCTGGATGGGCCTCAGTTTCTTTCTCCTCCTCCCTGTTTCCTCTTTTTTTATCCTCAATTTACTTCAAACTGAATTCAAAGTGGAAAAGGTTTTTTTTGTTTGCAAATGCTGACATACTCAGGCTCCTTCTACAATGCCATATAAAATCCAGATTATCTGTTTTGAACTGGATTATATGGCGGTGTTGACTCATACAATCCAGTTCAAAGTAGATAATGTCGATTATCTGCTTTGATAATTTGGATTATATGGCAATGTAGGAGACAGTTGCCACATCCAATTATGTTTCTGCCTTGTTAGAGACTCATTAAATATGACCAATGTTCCTTTCTTGTTTTTAATTTTAGTCATGTGATAAACGAGCTGATAGAAACAGAGAGGGTATATGTGGAAGAATTGTTCACTGTTTTGATGGTGAGTCTCTTCGTTCGTCTTTCCTTCGTTCTTTCCTTAAATATATTGAGGAACTCAGTTTTATTTCCACGTCCCTTTTCCTATTTTTATTATTAAACTTGTACCCTGTCTTTGATCCAGTGAGCTTAAGATAGCATGCAGGGCTAGTTCAAAAACTCACATTGAAAACAGAATTTGAGATCAATATTTTGCGGTGGAATGAAAACAACGTGTAGTTCATGTCTCTGCCAATCCACACACTGTCTTGCTAGGGAAAAAAAATATGCCACACCGATGATCAGTAAAGAATAAGGTGTGCTGTCGCACACTGGGTCTGTGCATAAGACTGTAGACAGGACATAAATTCTGTGTGCCCAACGGGACGCCGGGGCTGCCTCAGATTAAAGGCCTTTGGATTTCCTTAAAACAGAGTCTTTAGATTGCTTAAAAGTTGAACAAGGTTCTTTATTAATGAAAACAAACAGGTACTTTAAGGCTTTCTTAACAGTCTATTGGCTCTCTCTCAAGCTTGTCCACAGGGAACAGGCACTATCTTCTTAACTGTAATTAATGGGGAAATCCTTAACTTCTAATCTGGGCAGTCTGTCTTTGTCTCTGTTGGCATGGAGCCCCTGCACCCGGTACCAACTGCTTCTGGCTTTCGTGAGTGACCCTTACCAAGCAGAGCTTTGTAGACTTCCAGGGGAAAAAAGAAGGAATTCAGGCTTCGGTAATGGCTGACTGAAGTCCCTCAGCGAAGGAGCTGTAAGGCTGTATAATCCTCAGCCAAGCTATGGGACCTTTCTCCCCGGCCAAGCTGTAGAAGACGAAGCTTTCTACAGGAGCTCTTGGTATTATGTCCTGCATGAAAGGCTTCTCTGTGTGGACTGAACCCAAATTGGCTCCTATTCCCTCCAAAACCCAAAAAGGGGGCAGGACCAGGGAACCTAACTATAATTGACAGGTGTCTTGCCCTATGATTGCAGCCAAAAGAAGCCACCTATTTGCAGAGTCCCTGAAACTTAGGACTACAACAAACATTAAATGCAAAGCAAACAAAATTGGAGCTCCTGGTGCAGTTTTACCTGCACATAAGGTGTTTACTCTTTTTTAATGCAGAGCAGCATATATCCTGTATATACTCAAGTATAAGCCTAGTTTTCCAGACCCTTTTTTAGGCTGAAAAAGCTCTCCTCGGCTTATACTCGAGTCAAAGTTATTTATTATTTCACTCTGTCCCGGTGGCGCAGCGGGTTAAACCCCTGTGCCGGCAGGACTGAAGACCGACAGGTTGCAGGTTCAAATCCGGGGAGAGGCAGATGAGCTCCCTCTATCAGCTCCAGCTCCTCATGCGGTGACATGAGAGAAGCCTCCCGCAAGGATGATAAAAAAAAAACATCAAAATCATCCAGGCGTCCCCTGGGCAACGTCCTTGCAGATGGCCAATTCTCTCACACCAGAAGTCACTCCTGATACGACAAAAAAAAAAGTATTATTTTATTACATTTATTGTTTTACTCTTTTATTGGTTTTATTACATGTACATTATTTTACTCTATTATTTTATTACATTTATTTTACTCTATTTATTGTTACCACATTTATTATTTTACTCTATTGTTGTTTTATTACATTTATTTTATTCTATTTATTCTTATTATTACATTTATTATTTTACTTTACTATTGTTATTATTCCTTTTATTATTTTACTCTATTATTATTGGAAGGATACGTAAGCACTGAAAAAAGGTTAGAATAATGGTTTAATCAAAGTTGGTCAGTCTTATTTTAGATTACAGTTTTATGTAAACATTGAAAAAAATTAACCTACTCAATTAATGTAATTTTATTAGTATCTATTTTTATTTTGAAATTGACCAGTAGCGGTTGCATTTCCCACGCTCGGCTTATACTTGAGTCAATAAGTTTTCCCAGTTTTTTTGCAGTAAAATTAAGTGCCTCGGCTTCTATTTGGGTCGGCTTATATTCGAGTATATACGGTACATTCATGAGAACAATTGCATTGACTCACATAATGTCCTTTGAGAGGTTCAGATGGTCTTTAGATGTCCATGTAAGAAATATCCTTCCAGCAGCTAAGAAGCAGAAAGCTGGCAAGCTCCTGCACAGTAAACCTATACATGTAACTGTTGCCAAAACTCCCAGGTTCAGCTAGCTTCTGGTCGTGGCCCAACCAATCAGCTTCGTATAGAGAAGCAGTTAGTTAAACAGAGCTTGAGTTTTAAGGAACATAAAGAAGGCTAGTGTTGCCTTAGTTGAGAATATAATTCAGCCAAGAGTGTGTAAAGCAAGTAACATGTTTGTTAATGTGAAACATTGATAGTTTATTCAGAAAAGTTAACCAAGTAAATGATACTGACTGTAAGCCTCAAGATTGCAACAAAACACAAATGTAACCACAAGCGTTGGAGCCAGAAGTTATAAATAAACTGTGTTACTTCGTTATACACAAGAGTGTTTCATTGCTTCTGATATATAGTACAAAGGTTTAAGAGCACACAGAAAGTCCTAGCCAATATAAAAGAAGAAACTGAATCAGTGTAAGGCAGCAAAGAAGTTTTTTTAAAATAAGGAAATAGTCTCTCTCTCCCTCGCCACAGATGGGTTAGCTCTAATCTGTTGTACTGTCTACATGGGCTAGCACTTACCACCCCCCTTTTCCCTCCATTCAGAAGCACAGGGAAAAGGGGACAGATCAATAGGCATGCATGACAGCCTTGGCTCTTCATGGTGCTTCAGATGTATCTGCCAAATAATGCTAACTTTGATCATCTCGCTGGCAGGGCTACCGAGCGGAGATGGACAACCCTACCATGGCCTTCCTCCTGCCGCCCCTCCTAGAGAACCGCAAAGATGTCCTCTTTGGGAACATGTCTGAGATTTATGATTTCCACAACAAGTAAGGTGCTCAACGATTCCCTGTTGTTCCCCTTAAAACATGACTTTGAGAAGGAGGTATAACCTATTCACCTCCCACTTCATCTTCCCACTCCTAGGATTTTCCTTCACCATCTGGAGAGTTGCCTTGAAGCTCCGGAGAAAGTTGGGTACTGCTTCTTGGAAAGGGTTAGTAGTCACAATGTTTCAGCTGTGCTTAGATTTGAGCACTTATGGATTCCAGGGAGTCCTTTGGGGTCCTGGATCCATATCTAAGGGCTCACCGAGTTACCATAACTGTTATTATTTTCTTGCAGCGTGAAGATTTTCAGATGTATGAAAAATACTGTCAGAATAAGCCACGATCTGAATTATTGTGGAGGCAGTGCGCAGAAAGTGTCTTTTTCCAGGTATTATTATGTTAGAATTGTAATCGAATCATAGAGTCCTAGAGTTGGAAGAGACCTATAGGCCATCCAGTCCAACCCCCTGCCAAGAAGCTGGACAATTGCATTCAAAGCACTCCCAACTGATGGCCACCCAGCCTCTGTTTGAAAGCCTCCAAAGAAGGAGCCTCCACCACACTCCAGGGCAGAGAGTTCCACTGCTGAACAACTATCACAGTGAGGAAGTTGTATTGTCGAAGGCTTTCATGGCCGGAATCACTGGGTTGTTGTAGGTTTTTTTTTTCGGGCTGTATGGCGATGTTCTAGAGCAGTGGTTCTCAACCTGGGGGTCGGGACCCCAAAGGGGGTCACAAGGGGGTGTCAGAGGGGTCACCAAAGACCATCAGAAAGCACAGTATTTTCTGTTGGTCATAGGTGTTCTGTGTAGGAAGTCTGGCCCAATTCTATCATTGGTGGGGTTCAGAATATTCTTTGATGGTAGGTGAACTATACATCCCACCAACTACAACACCCAAATGTCAAGGTCTATTTCCCCCAAACTCTACTAGTGTTCACATTTTGGGCATATTGAGTATTTGTGCCAAGTTTGGTCCAGATCCTTCATTGTTTGAGTCTACAGTGCTCTCTGGATGTAGGTGAACTACAACTCCCAAACTCAAGGTCAATGCCCACCAAACCCTTCCAGTATTTTCCCTTTTCATGGGAGTTCTGTGTGCCAAGTTTGGTTCAATTCCATCATTGGTGGAGTCCGGAATGCTCTTTGGTTGTAGGTGAACTACAAATCCCAGCAACTACAACTCCCAAATGACAAAATCAATCCCCCCCAATCCCAACACTATTCAAATGTGGGCATATTAGGTATGTGTGCCAAATTTGGTCCAGTGAATGAAAATACATCCTGCATATCAGATATTTACATTAGGATTCATAATAATAGCAAAATGACAGTTATGAAGTAGCAACCAAAATAATGTGATGGTTGGGGGTCACCACAACATGAGGAACTGGATTAAGGGGTCGCGGCATTAGGAAGGTTGAGAACCACTGTTCTAGAGGCATTCTCTCCTGACGTTTCGCCTGCATCTATGGCAAGCATCCTCAGAGGTAGTGAGGTCTGTTGGAACTAGGAAAAAGGGTTTATATATCTGTGGAAATGACCAGGGTGGGACAAAGGACTCTTGTCTGCTGGAGCTAGGTGTGAATGTTTCAACTGACCACCTTGATTAGCATACAATGGGCTGACTGTGCTTGGAGCAAACTTTTGTTGTGAGATAATCAGTAGGCTTGGGTAACCACAGAAAAATTTGGTTCTAAACTCGTTCTGTTTTTAGGGGGCCCCTGCGTTTCGTTTTTTTTAATAATTCCGAAATTTTCCTTTTAAAAATTTCGAAATATACGAAATTTCGTATAATTACGAATCGATTCGTTAATGGCGGACGAGATTGCGCAATATGCTAAAAAAACCTCCAAATGGGACAGGGGGAACTTCTGAAGCTTCCCTCTCCCTCTGTTGTTGACTGTTGGTGTGATAAAACAAACAACAACTATAAAACTTGCACCAGACATGCGAAAATAATTACGAAATAATTACGAAATAATTACGAAATAATTACGAAATAAATTGAAAAAATTGTTTCGAATCTTTATTACTCCTCACACAATTCCTGCATGGCTCAATATTGGATAGTAAGCTAATTTAAATACAAATTAATAACGAATTACGGAGCAAACTTTTGTTGAGAGGTAATTAGATGTCCCTGCCTGCTTCCTCTCTATTGTTGTGCTGTTGCAATTTTAGAGTTTTTTAATACTGGTAGCCAGATTTTGTTCATTTTCATGGTTTCCTCCTTTCTGTTGAAATTTTCCACATGCTTGTGGATTTCAATGGCTTCTCTGTGTAGTCTGACATTGTGGTTGCTGTGCTGACATTGTGACAGCACAGCAACAGAGAGACATAATACATTTCATCTACTTATATTATTTAAATGTTCCCTTCCTCCCAAAGTATACTTCTCTTTCTGCTGTTTTGCAGGAGTGCCAAAGAAAACTGGAACACAAGCTTGCCTTGGATTCCTACCTCCTCAAACCAGTGCAGCGGTTAACCAAATACCAATTGCTCCTGAAGGTATGTACACTGGAGGTTAACAAGGTTCAACTTGGGCAGGATGGAGCAAAGGAGGCAGATGGGGAAATGCAGCACAGAACAGGTACAGAGGCAGCACAGGAATATCTGGCTATTCCAAAAGGATTCTAGTCTCTTAAGGCCAGATATTATTGTTATTATTATTATTATTATTATTATTATTATTATTATTATTATTAAACTTTATTTGTACTCTGCTAGCATCTCCCGAAGGACTCGATGCGGCTTACAAAGGCCAAGGCCTCAAACAAAACATAACAATACAAAACCTAAAGCAAATTAAAAACACAATGTCCTTTGAGAGGTTCAGATGGTCTTTAGATGTCCATGTAAGAAATATCCTTCCAGCAGCTAAGAAGCAGAAAGCTGGCAAGCTCCTGCACAGTAAACCTATACATGTAACTGTTGCCAAAACTCCCAGGCTCAGCTAGCTTCTGGTCATGCAATATTAAACAACAAACAATAAAGCAATATTAAACAACAAACAATAAACAATACACTAAAACACAATAAAGCTGGGCTGGGCCAGAGTAAAGGGTACAGAATTAAAAGTGCTGATGTGACAGGTGGTATATAATGTGTAAGTGCAGTGTGCAGTGTGCGGCAATCTTAGTTCTAATAAAGTGCTTCTGGGACTTGGTATTGGAGATTTCCTATTCTGGGAAGGCACATCGGAACAGCCAGGTCTTCAAGTTCTTTCTAAAGACTGCCAAAGTAGGGGCCTGTCTAAGATCTTTGGGGAGGGTGTTCCAGAGTCGGGGGGCCACCACAGAAAAGGCCCTGTCTCGTGTCCCCACCAAACGCGCTTGCGATGCAGGCGGGATCACGAGCAGGGCCTCTCCAGATGAACGAAGTGAATGTGTTCATAAACGGAGATGCGGTCACGCAGGTAGGATGGTCCCAAACTGTTTAGGGCTTTGTAGGTAAGCACCTGCACCTTAAATTGGGCTCGGAAAATAAACGGCAGCCAGTGGAGCTCCTTGAACAGGAGGGTTGACCTCTCTCTGTAAGGAGCCCCGGTTAACATCCTGGCCACTGCCCGTTGGACCAGTTAAAATTTCCGAGCCGTTTTCAAGGGCAGCCCCACGTAGAGCGCATTACAGTAGTCCAATCTAGAGGTGACCAAGGCATGGACCACCCTGGCCAGATCAGCCTTCACGAGGTACTGTCGCAGTTGGCGCACGAGTCTCAATTGTGCGAAAGCCCTCCCAGACACCACCGACGCCTGAGCCTCAAGCGTGAGCAATGAATCCAAGAGGACTCCCAAACTGCGGACCTGTGGCTTCAGGGGGAGTGCAACCCCGTCCAACACAGGTTGCCACCCTATACCCCGATCCGGTTTGCGATTGACCAGGAGGACCTCTGTCTTGTCGGGATTGATCTTCAGCTTGTTCCTCCTCATCCAGATAGACACAGCGGCCAGGCACTCGTCCAGCACCCAAGAGGCCTCCTTGGAATTGGGTGGAAATGAGTAGTAGAGTTGTGTGTCATCTGCATAGAGATGGCACCTAACTCCAAAACTCCAGATGACCTCTCCCAGCGGTTTCATGTAGATGTTAAAGAGCATGGGAGACAAAATAGAACCTCTAGAATGGACTACTGCAATGCGCTCTACGTGGGGCTGCCCTCGAAGACGGCTCGGAAACTCCAATTGGTCCAGCGGGCAGCAGCCAGGATGCTAACCGGGGCTCATTATCAAGAGAGGTCTACCCCTCTGTTTAAGGAGCTCCACTGGCTGCCATTCATTTTCCGAGCCCAATTCAAGGTGCAGGTGCTCACCTACAAAGCCCTGAACGGTTTGGGACCACCCTACCTGCGTGACCGCATCTCCATCTACGAACCCACACGCTCGCTCCGGTCATCTGGGGAGGCCCTGCTCGTGATCCCACCTACGTCGCAAGCGCGCTTGGTGGGGACACGGGACAGGGCCTTTCTCTGTGGCGGCCCCCCGACTTTGGAATGCCCTTCCAAAAGATCTCCGACAGGCCCCCACTCTAGCTGTTTTCAGAAGGAATTTAAAAACTTGGCTGTTCCGATGTGCCTTTTCAGACTAGAAATCCCCACCCCAAGTCCTAGTAGCACCTTAGCATAACTAATCGCTGCTGCACACCGCACTTTTAATCCTACGTGCCTCCTACCATTTCAGCACTTTTAACCCTGTACCCCATTGCGCCGGCCGAACCAGTTTTTAATAATGTCTTGTTGTATTGTCATTGTCGTTATTTGCTTATTGTTTTGATTTGCTCTGCTATTGTTGTGTTATGTTTTCTATTGTATTGTGTTTTGTGGCTTCGGCCTGTGGAAGCCGCATCGAGTCCTTCGGGAGATGCTAGCGGGGTACAAATAAAGTTTATAATAATAATAATAATAATAATTGCGGGACCCCACAGGTCAAAGGCCAGGGGTCCGAGCAGGCGTCTCCCAGATTATGAAGCAGGGGAGGTAGTAGCAGAAACACAACACAGAACAGGTAAAGAGACAGTACTGGAATATCTAATCTACAGGAATTCAAGATTGTCAAGGCCCAATAATGGAGCAGAGGAGGCAACAGGGTTGCTGGGTAGGTTTTCCTGCCCCAACAAACTGCTAACTATTAGCACTAAAGGAGCCCTGTCTTGTATTCAACCTGGCAACCTGACTTCCGTATCTCTTGGCTTGCAGGAGCTTCTGAAGTACAGCACAAGTTGTGAAGGGGTTCAAGAGCTCCAGGAGGCTTTGGTGGCCATGCTGGACTTGCTGAAGTCCGTCAACGACTCCATGCACCAGATCTCAATCACTGGTTATGATGTAAGCATTCTTTCTTCTGGGCTGGGAGAGAGTCATATACAAGTGGTTCTCAACTGTCCTAATGCCACGACCTCTTAATACACTTTCTCATGTTGTGGTGACCCCCAACCATAACATTATTTTGTTGCTACTTCACAACTGTAAATTTGCTGCTGTTATGAATCGTAATATAAATATCTGATATGCAGGATGGATTTTCTTTCACTGGACCAAATTTGGCACAAATTTCCGATACGCCCAAATTTGAATACTGGTGGGTGGGGGTGGGGGTGGGGTTGATTGATTTTGTCATTTGGGAGTTGTAGTTGCTGGGACTTATAGTTTGCCTACAATTGTAAGGGATCACGGGTTTAGGGTACGGGGTCCCTTTTCGAAGAAATCCACAGAGTCCAGTAGGTTCAGGTTGTTGTTGTTCATTCGTTCAGTCATCTCCGACTCTTCGTGACCTCATGGACCAGCCCACGCCAGAGCTCCCTGTCGGCCGTTACCACCCCCAGCTCCCTCAAGGTCAGTCCAGTCACTTCAAGGATGCCATTCATCCATCTTGCCCTTGGTCGGCCCCTCTTCCTTTTGCCTTCCACTTTCCCCAGCATAATTATCTTCTCTAGGTTCAGGTAAGACACCGTTTATCCAATCTGATCAGCATAAGACGAACAGCAAAGTGACTAATTTAATTAAATTAGTAATTAGTAATTAAATTACGAATAAATAACAAATTAGAGTCAAGTTTTAGCCTATTGATACAAGACATGCAATCTGGGTTTATGAAAAATGTCTTTGTGGTTATATCTAACTACTAGAATAATATTATTATGGGAAAATGCAGAATACACGTAAATTAGACATTTGGGTGTCAACCTCTCTGATGGTGTCACACAGTGTGGTTTCCACTTCTTGCATTTTTGTCTCAATGGGGCCTCGCGTTGACTTGTAGGACTTGAATCCTCCAAGATGCCTTCCAAAACTGATTGATGGATCTCTTTTCTTTTGCTACGGCTAGGGCGACCTCAACGAACTTGGCAAGGTGCTGATGCAGGGCTCCTTTAGCGTGTGGACGGGGCACCGGAAAGGCCCCACCAAGATGAAGGACCTGGCCCGGTTCAAACCGATGCAGCGGCATCTCTTCCTCTATGAGAAAGCGCTGGTCTTCTGCAAGAAGAGAGAAGACCACGGCGATGGATATGAAAAAACCTCCTCGTACAGCTTCAAGCACTTTCTCAAAGTAAGGGCAGTCCTTAGGGGCTTGCAAAGACTTGCATTTTTATTTTGTTTTGGATCCCCAGGTTTCAGCGGTGGCCAGGGGAGCATTTGCACAGCTTCGGCTCGTGCGCCAGCTGCGCCCGTACCTCGGGAAGTCTGACTTGGCCACGGTGGTACACGCTCTGGTCACATCCCGCCTTGACTACTGCAACGCTCTCTACGTGGGGCTGCCCTTGAAGACGGCCCAGAAGCTTCAGCTAGTCCAGCGCGCGGCTGCCATGCTACTAACAGGAGCAGGACGCAGGGAGCACACAACGCCCCTGTTGTTCCAGCTCCACTGGCTGCCGATTTGCTACCGGGCCCAATTTAAGGTGCTGGTGTTGGCCTACAAAGCCCTAAACGGTTCCGGCCCAAAATACCTTTCTGACCGCATCTCGGCCTATGAGCCCACGAGGGCCTTGAGATCGTCTGGGGAGGCCCTTCTCTCGATCCCGCCTGCCTCACAGGCACGTCTGGCGGGGACGAGAGATAGAGCCTTCTCAGTGGTGGCCCCCCGGCTATGGAGCACCCTCCCTGTTGACATCAGACAGGCGCCCTCACTTATGGCTTTCCGTAAGAGCCTAAAAACTTGGTTATTCGAAAAGGCGTTTAATTAAGTGCTATAACAATTGGTAATGACGACTGGAACGGAATATGGATTATGAGATTGGTTATGATTCTATGATGAGACGACGCGGATGATTTAGTTTAATGATATGTATTGTAAACTGTTTTTATATGTTGTACACCGCCGTGAGTCGCCCTAAGGGGCTGAGAACGGCGGTCAACAAATGCAATAAATAAATAAATAAATAAATAAATAAATAAATAAATAAATAATTCAATAAATATTACTGGCATTATGCTAGTTTACACTGATATCTATATCTATATATATAAATGCTCTGTGCATAATGAGTACCTTAAAAACAAAAGAACCAATGAACGAAATCACACCAAATTTGGCAACAAAATGTCTTACAACACAAGGAGTGACCATCACTCAAAAAATTATGATTTTGTCATTTGGGAGTTGTAGTTGCTGGGATTTATAGTTAGGCTACAATCAAAGAGCATTCTGAACCAAATTGGGAGGGAGAGCCATGACTCCAAAGGACAGGAACAGTATTCATAACAATCTTCACAGATTAGAGAGATGATTGGCCAAACCTAACAAAATGAAGTTCAACAGGGACAAATGCAAGATACTCCACTTTGGCAGGAAAAACGAAATGCAAAGATACAGAATGGGGGACAATGCCTGGCTCGAGAGCAGTACGTGTGAAAAAGATCTTGGAGTCCTCGTGGACAACAAGTTAAACATGAGCCAACAATGTGATGTGGCGGCAAAAAAAGCCAATGGGATTTTGGCCTGCATCAATAGGAGCATAGTGTCTAGATCTAGGGAAGTAATGCTACCCCTCTATTCCTTGGTTAGACCACACCTGGAATATTGTGTCCAATTCTGGGCTCCACAATTGAAGAGAGATATTGACAAGCTGGAATGTGTCCAGAGGAGGGCTAAAATGATCAAGGGTCTGGAGAACAAGCCCTATGAGGAGCGGCTTAAGGAGCTGGGCATGTTTAGCCTGAAGAAGAGAAGGCTGAGAGGGATATGATAGCCATGTATAAATATGTGAGAGGAAGCCACAGGGAGGAGGAGCAAGCTTGTTTTCTGCTTCCCTGGAGACTAGGACACGAAACAATGGCTTCAAACTACAAGAAAGGAGATTCCATCTGAACATGAGGAAGAACTTCCTGACTGTGAGAGCCGTTCAGCAGTGGAACTCTCTGCCCCGGAGTGTGGTGAAGGCTCCTTTCTTTGGAGGCTTTTAAACAGAGGCTGGATGGCCATCTGTCAGGGGTGATTTGAATGCAATATTCCTGCTTCTTGGCAGGGGGTTGGACTGGATGGCCCATGAGGTCTCTTCCAACTCTTTGATTCTATGATTCTATGAAAGGAATATCCTCCAGCTATTCCAATTTGATAAAGAAAGTCCCCATTAAGTCTCCACATCCCCACTTTTTCAGATGCTTTTATCGTGTCTGAGGTTCTTTCTACACTGCCATATAGAATCAAAGTGTTGGAAGAGACCTCATGGGCCATCCAGTCCAACCCCCTGCCAAGAAGCAGGAATATTGCATTCAAAGCACCCCTGACAGATGGCCATCCAGCCTCTGTTTAAAAGCTTCCAAAGAGGGAGCCTCCACCACACTCCGAGGCAGAGAGTTCCACTGCTGAACAGCTCTCACAGTCAGGAAGTTCTTCCTCATGTTCAGATGGAATCTCCTCTCTTGTAGTTTGAAGCCATTGTTCCGTCCTAGTCTCCAAGGAAGCAGAAAACAAGCTTGCTCCCTCCTCCCTGTGGCTTCCTCTCACATATTTATACATGGCTATCATATCTCCTCTCAGCCTTCTTTTTCAGGCTAAACATGCCCAGCTCCTTAAGCCGCTCCTCATAGGGCTTGTTCTCCAGACCCTTGATCATTTTATTCGCCCTCCTCTTGACGGCTCTCACAGTCAGGAAGTTCTTCCTTGTGTTCAGATGGAATCTCCTCTCTTATAGTTTGAAGCCACTGATCCACTTCCTAGTCTCCAGGGCAGCAGAAAACAAGCTTGCTCCCTCCCCTCTATGACTTGAAGAAAGAGGAAGGAGGAGGAAAGAGAAGGAAGAGAAAGAAAGGAGGAGAAGGAAGAAAGGAAGAAGGAAAGAGGGGAAGGAAGGAAAGAAAGGTAGAGAAGGAAGGAAGGAGAGAAGAAAATAAAAAAGTGAAAGAGGAAGGAAGGAGAGAAGGAACGAAAGAGAGAAAGAGGGAGGGAAGGAAGGAAGGAAGGAAAGAGACAAGGAAGGATGGAAACCAAAGAGCAAAGGAAGTGAGAAAAGAAACAGGTAGAGAAGGAAGAAAGAAGAAGGGAAAGAAAAAGAGGGAAGGAAGCAAGAGAAAGGAGGAAAGAAGGAAGGAAGGAAGGAAGGAAGGAGGAAGGAAAGAAAGAAAGAAAGAAAGAAAGGGAGGGAGGGAGGGAGGGAGGGAGGGAGGGAAGGTTGGCCACTGCAATGCGTGGTGGGTACAGCTAGTGTGTGTGTGTATGGGTACAGCTAGTGTGTGTGTGTATAAGGATGTATGCTCTGGTTCTGATTTTCGCACACTTCAAAATGATATCTGTTCATAATATTGATCTAATATCTGGTGTGGGTTATTGTGTGCAGTCATTTTCCCCTCCATAAATGTCCATCTTGACTGTACAGTTGGGTTTCCTCAGCTAGCGCCTGCAAACTGTTTTTGCGGAACGAACACTTAATTGGACAAACGGCTCCCAATTTCCCAAAGGCTATTTCCCTTTACTGATGAAAGCTTTGCCAAAAGAAAGAAAGAATTAGGAACAGACGGCCCATCCAGGTGGCCTCATTTGTTTAATGTCTCTGGCCACCTGATCATGTTATTATATGCACTTCAAGCACAGAAGGGGTTGAGTTCTCTAAGCACAATAGGAACGGTAAACAGAATGTCTATTTATACATGGCTTATTCATATTCAGAAAGAGACTTGTTGATCTCAATTTTTTAATCTTCCCACCCAGGCCCTTAACTGCCATGGTTCAATGCTGTTGAATCACAAGAATTGTAGTTTTCCCGGGTCTTTAACCAAAGTTACACTCTTAGCGTTTACACGTTATTCATGAAGCACTTGCGGCTTTTTGCCGCTGCAAAGAGAAATTTGCACCGGGATTGTGGCGCAGCTAGCTGAGTGTCAGCTGCATTAAGATCATTCTGACCAAAAGGTCATGAGTTCGAAGCCAGCCCGGGTTGGAGTGGGTTTCCAACCAATTGTGTAGCCTGTTGTCGACCTTTGCAACCCGAAAGACAGTTGCATCTGTCAAGTAGGAAAATTAGGTACCACCTTGTGGGGAGGCTAAATTAACTAATTTATGAGGCCATAAAAAAGACTCCAGCAAAGCACTCCAGCAAAAGCATGCGGGGAATGCGGAAGTACTTCATCAGTGTTGCAGATGGACGATGAAAGCGACATCTCCCCTGGCGGCCAGAAAAGTCAAATAGCCTCTGACTGTCTACGTTGTATGTTAAATTGGCATTGAATGTTTGCCATATATGTGTACACTGTAATCTGCCCTGAGTCCCCTCCGGGGTGAGAAGGGCGGAATATAAAAGCTGTAAATAAATAAATAAATAAACTGCATGAAGTCTACAGTGTAGATGCACTTTGGAGAGCTCCTTCATAGCAGTGTGAGGTCATTGTATTATTGATTTTTTCCCCCCCAGATGAATGCTGTTGGGATCACTGAAAACGTGAAAGGAGACCACCGGAAGTTTGAGATCTGGTACAGTGGTCGAGAAGAGGTGTACGTTGTCCAGGTTGGCTTGCTCTTGAATGACTTAAGAAACAGTGAGATGTAGTTTGACCAGGATTATTTGCAATAATGATCAGAGCAATGGGTGGCTTCTCTTGCTTCTCTTGACATTGAGTAGTAGTGTTGCACCCTAGAGCAGGAACAGGACCCTCTAATCATTAATTATACCACACCTTGGATGAAAGAAGAGTCATTCATGTATTGTCGAAGGCTTTCATGGCCGGAATTACTGTGTTGTTGTAGGTTTTTTCGGGCTGTATGGCCATGTTCTAGAGGCATTTTCTCCTGACGTTTCGCCTGAATCTGCGGCAAGCATCCTTAGAGGTAGTGAGGTCTGTTGGAACTAGGGAAAAGGGTTTATATATCTGTGGAACGACCAGGGTGGGACAAAGGACTCTTGTGTGCTGAAGCTAGGTGTGAATGTTTCAACTGACCACGTTGATTAGCATACAATGGGCTGACTGTGCCTGGAGCAAACTTTTGTTGAGAGGTAATTAGATGTCCCTGCCTGCTTCCTCTCTGTTGTTGTGCTGTTGCAATTTCAGAGTTTTTTTAATCCTGGTAGCTAGATTTTGTTCATATTCATGGTTTCCTCCTTTCTGTTGAAATTGTCCACATGCTTGTGTACTTCAATGGCTTCTCTGTGTAGTCTGACATGGTGGTTGTTGGTGTGGTCCAGCATTTCTGTGTTCTCCAATAACATGCTGTGTCCAGGTTGGTTCATCAAGTGCTCTGCTATGGCTGACTTCTCTGGTTGAAGTAGTCTGCAGTGCCTTTCATGTTCCTTGATTCGTGTTTGGGCAATGCTGCGTTTGGTGGTCCCTCTGTAGACTTGTCCACAGCTGCATGGTATACGGTAGACTCCTGCAGAGGTGAGAGGATCCCTCTTGTCCTTTGCTGAATGTAGCATTTGTTGGATTTTCTTGGTGGGTCTGTAGATAGTTTGTATGTTGTGTTTCCTCATCAGCTTCCCTATGCGGTCAGTGGTTTGCTATCAAGGGAATCACTGACCGCATAGGGAAGCTGATGAGGAAACACAACATACAAACTATCTACAGACCCACCAAGAAAATCCAACAAATGCTACGTTCAGCAAAGGACAAGAGGGATCTTCTCACTTCTGCGGGAGTCTACCGTACACCATGCAGCTGTGGACAAGTCTACATAGGGACCACCAAACGCAGCACTGTCCAGACACGAATCAAGGAACACGAAAGGCACTGCAGACTACTTCAACCAGAGAAGTCAGCCATAGCAGAACACCTGATGAACCAACCTGAACACAGCATATTATTTGAGAACACAGAAATGCTGGACCACTCTCACAACCACCATGTCAGACTACACAGAGAAGCCATTGAAATCCACAAGCATGTGGACAATTTCAACAGAAAGGAAACCATGAAAATGAACAAAATCTGGCTACCAGTATTAAAAAACTCTAAAATTGCAACAGCACAACAACAGAGAGGAAACAAACAAGGACATCTAATCACCTCTCAACAAAAGTTTGCTCCAGGCACAGTCAGGCCATTGTATGCTAATCAAGGTGGTCAGTTGAAACATTCACACCTAGCTCCAGCAGACAAGAGTCCTTTGTCTCACCCTGGTCATTCCACAGATATATAAACCCTTTTTCCTAGTTCCAACAGACCTCACTACCTCTGCGGATGCTTGCCATAGATGCAGGCAAAACGTCAGGAGAGAATGCCTCTAAAACATGGCCATATAGCCCGAAAAACCCACAACAACCCAGAAGAGTCATTTTTTATTTGAAGAATAATTAGAGCCAATAAAAGAGACGAATATAAGGTTGGTAAAAGTCCAAAAGCAAAAAGCCAAAAGCAGCAACAAAAACAGTGTCCAAACATAGGAATAATAACAAAGTTCCAAAAGCTTGCTGTAATAATCCAGATGCAATGAAATATCAAAAGCCTTCAATATCAAACCATGAACGTAGCCACTGCTGATCCACTTGAAAAGCTAGGAAAACTTGGAGACGAAGCCACATGAAACGAGAATATCCAGAAGACTTGACTTGAAACCAAACAATGCCTGGTCTAAAGGAAATTCCCTAAGAGCTCAATTTAAGTCCCAGAAACTGATTTCTACTCCCCCCAGACTTTAACTGCCGAATTCTTTCTGACCTGCATAAACATTGGGCCTCTCTATGGTTCTGGCTGATTTCCAGACGGCGACTGGTCTTATCTATCTCCTCATTAGCTGCAGCAGATGTGAAACTATCTTGCAAACTTTCCTGCCTTTCTCATGAGAACTTTCCCCTGACCCTTCTCGATCAGAGTCTGTAGTGACCTTATTGTCCAAAGTGTCTCCATTTTGCACCTCATCCTCATTGATCACATCAGGTTCACTATCCAAGTCAGACCCAGAAACATTAGAAGGGGGACACACTATAACAGATTCAGGGTCAAACACAGGCTGAGCCCCAACAAGTAGGATGATGATGATGATGATGATGATGTCATCTGAAGGGTGCACTTGACTTCAGACAATTGTATCTTTTGTCAGGCTCAAACCGTGGATCTGAAGATGGCATGGCTTAACGAAATCCGGAAGATACTGTTCAAGCAGCAGGAACTTATCAAAGGTATCATAGGGTCTCATAATTGGAAGAGCCAAGGGTTGGGAATCAACCTCACACTGCTCAAGTCCTCAATGAGGAACAAGTTAGTCAGCTTAGGGTAGGCTTCTTCCTAGAGCTATATAGTAGGCCTGTGCGGTTTCGTTCGTTATTTCGTTATTTCGTTATTAATTCGTTATTTTTGCATTTTTGAAGCAATATCAAAACACATTTTCAAACCCGGAAGGGTTTAAAAATATCGAACCGGCAGCCCCCATAAATTTAACGAGCTTCCGCTCGTTTCGTTAATGGGATGGAGGCTGCTGGAGTGCTGGTGCCTGGGAGCCAATCCGGCGCTCCCAAGCAGTGCACCATGGGTCCGTGGCTGTCTGTTTTTGATTGGCCGGCGAGCCCTTTCAAAGCGGCTCCGCGCGGCCCGTAGCTTGCTGCAGAGGGCGAGGGAGTTTGCATTGGGTTGGCTTGGCTGCTAGCAACTGGGATTGGATTCATTCCTTGCTGCTGTGAGTGCTGCTTGCTTCATTTGCTGTCTCTTGCCTGTGTTTGGTCCACATTTGGGCCATTTTTTGGTTAATTTTCCATTTTAAAATATTTTTAATATTATTTTTTAATATTATTTTTAATATTATTTTTTAATATTATTTTTAAATATTATTCTTAAAAAATATTCTAAAAAAGAAAAGACTCTTCTGTTGGTGTGTGCTCTCATTTGCTGTATCCTGCCTGTGTTTGGTCCACATTTGGGCCATTTTTTGGTTAATTTTCCATTTTAAAATATTTAATATTATTTTAATATTATTCTTAAGAAATACCAAAAATATTCTAAAAATTCGTTAATATTTACAAAATTTCTTAAATACCAAAACTTTTTTGGGGGAAAGTTTTGTAATTATTTTAAATATCGAAACAAAAAAACACCCCAATTACAAATCGATTTTAGAAACAAATTTTTTCTTGATCAAACAGGCCTAACAGCTTTCAACTATACTATTGGCCTTATATCAGAGAAAAACTGACATTGGCCACAATCAGTGCTTTTTCCATCTCATATTTCTCCACTGATTAGTTGAATTGTGGATCCACACACCAACACATGAGCACACTTTTGGCCTATAACCCTTATTTTTGGGTAGTTTTCCCTAACAACAGGGCCCTGTTATAATTGAGTCCTCCTCCGCAAATAGTCTGTTTCTCTTTTATCTCGCCCGAGTTTTTAATTAGTTTTAATTAGTTCGTCTTTTAATCATCACATGTACCCCGCCCATTATTATTGTGCTTGTGCTTATTGATTTTTTATTGTTATGTATTCACATGTTTTATGTAATTATGATTTTGTTGTTTATTGTTCGCGTTTTCGGTTTGCGTTTTCGGTCTTTCTTTATTGTAATTGTTGTTTGGGCTTGGCCTCATGTAAGCCACTCTGAGTCACTCCCCATTGGGGAGATGGTGGCGGGGTATAAATAAAGTTTTATTTTTATTATTATTATTGGTGGTGCAGCGGGTTAAACTGCTGTGCTGCTGACTGAAAAGTTGGCAGTTCAAAACTGGGGAGCGGGATGAGCTCCTGCTGTTAGCCCCAGCTTCTGCCAACCTTGCACTTCAAAAACATGCAAATGTGAGTAGATAATTAAGCACTGCTTCTGCATGAAGGTAACAGTGTTCTATGCAGTCAAGCTGTCCACATGACTTTGGAGGCATCTACAGACAATGCCGGCTCTTTGACGTAGAAATTGAGATGAGCAACACCCCCTCCCAAGAGTTGGACACGACTAGACTTAATGTCAGGGAAAACCTTTACCTTTACTTATATATAATATAGCTAATATTGCAGGAAGGCAATGGTGCTCCATGAAGTCATGCTGGTCACTTGATCTTGGAGATGTCTACGGATAACGCCGGCTCTTCATCTTGGAGATGCGCACCACCCCTCAGAGTCGGACATGACTAGATTTACCTTTTCCCTAACAAAAAAGGTTATGGGCCCAGAGTGTGCTCATGTGCTGGTGTGTGAATCCACAATTCAACTCATCAGTGAAGAAATAGGAGATGTCAAGAGAGCATTGACTATGGCCAATGTCAGTCTTTCTCTAATATAAAGCCAATAGTATAGTTGAAAGCTTAACTATGTAGCTCTAGGAAAAAGCCTACATGAAACAGCTGGAAGGTCAAGAAAAAAAATCAGTAGATTAGTTTTGGGTAGTTTTTCCTAACTAACTTACTTACTTAGGCGATCCCTCATTGTCCGAGTAGGATAGTCTTCCAGGGTCAGTATCCTTGTGGTGGGTCTGTAGGTGGCTGTGGAGCCCTATTCTTGACCTGCATGTTCTCCCGCAGTGAGGGCATTGGTTTCCAGGTGGAAGGTGGTCCCGGTCAGAGTTGGCTTGATGCACCTTCCTCTTGGCACGTTTCTCTCTTTCGCCCTCCATTCGTGCCTCTTCAAATTTTACAGCACTGCTGGTCACAGCTGACCTCCAGCTGGAGCGCTCAAGGGCCAGGGCTTCCCAGTTCTCAGTGTCTATGCCAGAGTTTTTAAGGTTGGCTTTGAGCCCATCTTTCAATCTCTTTTCCTGCCCACCATCATTCCGTTTTCCGTTCTTGAGTTCGAAGTAGAGCAACCGCTTTGGGAGACGGTGGTTGGGCATCCAGACAACGTGGCCAGTCCAGCAAAGTTAATGGCGGAGGAACACTGCTTCAGTGCTGGTGGTCATTGCTTCTTCCAGCACGCTGACATTTGTCCGCTTGTCTACCCAAGAGATTTTCCCTAACACCAAGAGCTTGGAAAATATGTGGTTTCGGACTACATTGCTCCTCCACATTTGCAATATGGATTTGATTAGTTGCAGATTTGATTGGAACATTTTGTCTAGGAATCTCTAGACAGTCCTTCAGCGTGACTGTTATGGTCAACCTCTTCCAGTCATGCTGTAGGCATAGAGATTTCTAGGTATGTCTAAGTCATCTACTATGATTCTATGGTCAGCTTCCAGCAGAAGAGAAAACATAACTATTGGAACATTTGAGCCAAACAAAAGATATTAAACTGACATCGTTTTGTATTGTTCTCACAGTTGAGAAGCAGCCAACGCTTTCGTGTATGGACCCAATCCAGCTTTCTCCTCCGCTAAGTGAAGGGTAAGTCCTCATATAGACAATGCCACTTCAATGCCACTTTGGGGGCCTTGTTGGAACCCCCAGTGGCGCAGTGGGTTAAAGCCCTGTGCCGACAGGACTGAAGACCGACAGGTCACAGGTTTGAATTCGGGGAGAGGCGGATGAGCTCCCTCTATCAGCTCCAGCTCCTCATGCGGTGACATGAGAGAAGCCTCCCACAAGAATGATAAAACATCAAATCATCCGGGCGTCCCCTGGGCAACGTCCTTGCAGACGGCCAATTCTCTCACAACAGGAGCGACTTGCAGTTTCTCAGGTCGCTCCTGACACGACAAAAAAAAAAAGGGGGGGGGGACTTGATGCTATATGTGGATCTTCGAGCTGTGCCACTAGTAACTTTTAAAATATCATCCCAATGCTGATTCTCCGTGTGAAATTTATATATCCCTAGAAAGCAGACAAGAGCTTCGGTAAGCTCAGAGGAAAATGACTCTGACCGCACCAGCCCCGTGCACTCCGACAGCATTGGTTCAACACAGCAGAGCAAACCTGGCAGGCGTACGTTCTTTCTTTTATCCTCTGTTTATTTTATTAGGTAACGTTCATCTCACGGAGTGCATGTACAAATCCCAGCAAGTACAACTCCCAAATGTCAAGGTCTATTTTCCGCAAGCTCCATCATTTGGGCATATTGAGTATTTGTGCCAAGTTTGGTCCAGGCCCATCATTGTTTGAGTCCTGAATGTAGGGGAACTACAACTCCAAAATTCAAGGTCAATGCCCACCAAACCTTCCAGTATTTTCTGTTGGTCATGGGAGTTCTGTGAGCCAAGTCTGGTACAATTCAATCGCTGGTGGAGTTTAGAATACTCGTCGATTGTAGGGGAACTATAAATCCCAGCAACTACAACTCCCAAATGGCACACTCAATCCCCCCCAATCCCACCAGTTTTCGAATTTAGACGTAATTTGTTCCAAATTTGGTCCAGTGAATGAAAATCCATCTTCTATACCAGATATTTACATTACGATTCATAACAGTTGCAAAATTACAGTTATGAAGTAGCAATGAAAATAATGTTATGGTTGGGGGTCACCACAACATGAGGAACTGTATTAAGGGGTCGCGGCATTAGGAAGGTTGAAGTCTTTGTCTGTAAGAACTACCATATTGAATTGGAGCTGGAAGCAAACCAGGAGCATCCTAAAGTAGTTCAGTCTTTTATCCCCTTTCCCATACAGCTTGGCCAGGAATGTCCCACTCTCTGGAAATCTGTGAAGGACTCGATGACTGGTCCAGCCAGAACTACTTCTCAACCTGCTCTGATACTGAAGAAGAGGATGGGAACCAGTTGGTAAGTTCAAGTATTTATAAAACAAACTACAAAGACAGTGCAAGAACTAACTTGGTGATGGGTGGATTGTTTGCTCCTGAAGGTATTCAGTTGAGCAGCCATTGAGTCTTCTTCTTCTTCTTCTTCTTCTTCTTCTTCTTCTTCTTCTTCTCCTTCTCCTTCTCCTTCTCCTTCTCCTTCTCCTTCTCCTCCTCCTCCTCCTCCTCCTCCTCCTCCTCCTTCTCCTCCTTCTCCTCCTTCTCCTTCTCCTTCTCCTCCTCCTCCTCTTCCTCTTCCTCCTCCTCCTCCTCCTCCTCCTTCTTCTTGTGATAGTCTCCAGGAAAATATAAAGCCTTAGCGGACTGCAAGAAGAGGGACTCGGAAGATCTGCTGGTGAAGAATGGGGACGTGATTGAGCTAATGCATGAAAATGAAGAGGGACAGTGGTAGGTACTCTGTGAAACCTTCTTTCTTTTCTTTTAGGAGTGGGAGAAAGTAGCAATAGAATTCCAACAAACTCTTAGCAGGTTTTAGGGTGCGGGGTCCCTTTTCAAAAAAATCCAGAGTCCAATTGGTTCATGTAAGACACCGTTTATTCAAGCTGTTCAGCATGAGATGGACAGACAGCACTTCTGTTTGTGCTTTCACAGACTGCCGCCCACCCCTGGCTTTTGTACACCATTATATACCCTCAAGTAAACAAGAATATTTTTGTCATGGAAAGTACTTTGACCTTTATTCTTCCTGCCCCATCATCCTCTTGATGGAAAGTACCTTCTTGTACCTGCAGACTTTGCGCTTAACTACAACCTTTCGCTTAACCACAACCCAACTTCCTATGTAAGCTCGAACTTTGTATGTCATCTACATGTCACATCTTGCTTCTTCAAAACATTTCCTTCCGTGCTGCTAATTTCATTCAAAGCCCCTTGTTTAGCATTTGCTAATTTCACTCAGAGACCCTTTCAGCAGTGCCATATGCTCTCTGAATTAGAATTTCTAGATCTCAGAGTCTGATTATTGTCCGAAATATTAAAAAATTAACTAGGCATTTTTAATTACAAAAATGTGAGTCAAGCACTGAAAGAATTAAGTGGATGCAATGACTCAGCAAAGCTGCAGTTTCATATAAGCAGGTGTGTCTGTAGCTTAGTAGGCCTCTGTGTTAGTTTGCCTCAGTGGGAGAAAGGCCTGAGTCTGTGAGAAGGCCTCACAGTGTGAGGTAAGCCTTAGTCTGTGAGAAGGCCGAGTGTGAGAAGCTTAGGTGAAAGAAGCCCCAGGTTAAAGGTCTTGTGAGAAAAGCCTCATGTGTGAAGCTCCAGTGTATAAAGGCTGATGTGTCTAATAAGTTACTGTGTGAAGCTCCTGTGTAAGTTCATTGTGAGAGGAGGCTCTGTGAGAGTGAAGCTGTTTATCTGCATAAGAAAGAAGCCCAGCATGGAAGCAATGAAGGAAGTATAAAGAACTTTATTTGTGTTATGGAAACCTTCTTCTTGTAAATAGTGTAACCATATTATTTTACTACAAAGAAAAGGAAGCAGACAAAAGTGTAACTTTTGGGAAGCGCAGGGAAGGTGATTGTGGCACACAGAGCTCTGCTTTCCGATACTTTGCTTGCTACTAGGTATTTTTAATTACAAAAATGTGAGTCATGCACCGAAAGGTTTAAATGGATGCAATGACTCAACAAATGCTGCAGTTCAATATAAACAGGCACTTCTGTAGCTTAGTTTGCCTCAGTGTTAAATGCCGTCAGTATGAGAAGGCCTCAGTATGAGAGAAGCCTCAGTATGAGAACATTCCAGTGTTAGTTGTGCTCAGGATGAAGAGGCTTCAGTTTGAGAGAGGCCTCTGTCTGAGAGAGGCCTCAGTGTGAGATAAACCTCAGTGTTAGCAGGCCTCAGTGTGAGGTAGGTCTCAGAGTTAGTAGGCCTCAGTGTGAGAGAAGCCTGGTGTGAGAAGGCTTCAGTGAGAGAAACCCAAGTATGAAGCTCCAGTGTGAAAGCTGCTGTGTTCAAAAAGCTACTGTGTGAAGCTCCTGCATACGTTTGGTGTGAGAGGAAGCTCAGTGAGAGCGAACTTGTTTATCTGCATGAGAAAGAAGCCCAGCGTGGAAGCAAAGAAGGAAGTATAAAGAATTTTATTTGTGTTATGGAAATCTTGTTCTTGTAAATACTGAGACCATATTATTTTGCTATAAAGAAAAGCCTCCTATGGAAGAAATAATATTGGTCTGTGTGTTTTTATTCTTTTTATCACTTTGGGTGCTGGGTCACCCTGCTGCTAAATTACTCTGCTGTACATTGTGGGCTAGGCAAAACCAATGTGGGCTAGGCAAAACTACGGTGAGGTGGATCTGTAATTGGTTAAATGGACGAATCCAGAGGGTGATTCTCACCAATGCTTTCTCTTCATCCTGGAAAGAAGTGACGAGTGGAGTGCCGCAGGGTTCCGTCCTGGGCCTGGTCCTGTTCAACATCTTTATTAATGACTTAGATGAAGGGCTAGAAGGCAGGATCATCAAGTTTGCAGACGACACCAAATTGGGAGGGATAGCCAATACTCCAGAGGACAGGAGCAGAATTCAAAATCATCTTGACAGATTAGAGAGATGGGCCAAAACTAACAAAATGAAGTTCAACAGTGACAAATGCAAGATACTCCACTTTGGCAGGAAAAACGAAATGCAAAGATACAGAATGGGGGATGCCTGGCTCGAGAGCAGTACGTGTGAAAAAGATCTTGGAGTTCTCGTGGACAACAAGTTAAACATGAGCCAACAATGTGATGTGGTGGCAAAAAAAGCCAATGGGATTTTGGCCTGCATCAATAGGAGCATAGTGTCTAGATCAGGAGTCCACTACCCCCTATTCTGCCTTGGTTAGACCACACTGGAATATTGTGTCCAATTCTGGGCACCACAATTCAAGAGAGATATTGACAAGCTGGAATGTGTCCAGAGGAGGGCCACTAAAATGATCAAGGGTCTGGAGAACAAGCCCTATGAGGAGCGGCTTGGGGAGCTGGGCATGTTTAGTTTGAAGAAGGCTGAGAGGAGATATGATAGCCATGTATAAATATGTGAGAGGAAGCCACAGGGAGGAGGGAGCAAGCTTGTTTTCTGCTTTCCTGGAGACTAGGACGTGGAACAATGGCTTCAAACTAAAAAGGAGATTCCATCTGAACATGAGGAAGAACTTCCTGACTGTGAGAGCCGTTCAGCAGTGGAACTCTCTGCCCTGGAGTGTGGTGGAGGCTCATTCTTTGGAAGCTTTTAAACAGAGGCTGGATGGCCATCTGTCGGGGGTGATTTGAATGCAATATTCCTGCTTCTTGGCAGGGGGTTGGACTGGATGGCCCATGAGGTCTCTTCCAACTCTAGGATTCTATGATTCTATGATTTATGAGGAGGGTCTTTTGTTAATAAGCCCACTTTCCCAAAAATCATCTCCAAGTGGTAGTGCAAATGCTCCATTTTTTGTGGCTTAGCTCTAGCCAAGAGGGAAGGGCTATGCACAAAGAGATGAGGAAGAATTATCCAGCGGGTGTTTTTTCTCTAGATCCCTGACATTATTCTGCATATTAATTCACTAATCAATGTTTCCATTTGTATTTTGAAGGCTGGTCAAAAACCTCAACCGAAGGAAAGAAGGCTGGGTTCCTATCAACAGTTTGCAGATCATCCTTGGGGACTGTAGGTTCAGGAATGCCAGAGTCACAGGTATCCTATGATGACAGACCTCCTCTCCCCCGAACTGCTTCAGAGCTGGAGTTTGCAGGAGATTGGCGGGGTTGGCTTCTTTGCTTGCTTGCTAAGAGAAGTGCTGGCTGTTGCCTTCCTTTTTGAATTAAATTAAGATAAGCACGCACAGGGTCGGGCGGGTGGGTTTTTGCATCTGGAATTTGCACTGCTCCTAAAAAAAAAGACAGAGAAGAGGAAAAGTTAGCAATAGCGCTGTACAATCTCTTTGTTTTCAGCCTTTCAGTTTATTCCTTATTTATTTTGCAAAGACCAAGACTTGAAAAATGCTCTCAGTAGAGAAGGAGGAACAGCTAAACATGGCAAATGAATGAAACACTTCGGCTGGAACCCAATTGGTTTACTCCCACACAAAAATCTGCTCGACACAAAAGCCTACCTTTATGTGTGTCCGAACTTGCCTCTTTGCCTTGGAAAGAGTGTGTGTGGCGGGGCATGCAGACAGACAAGCCTGGAGCTTGGCTGCAGGTGTGCTCTGGACCTGCCTGCACATCCTGCCACACACGCACTCTTGGAGAGTATGGTGGGATGTGTGTGGTGGGCATGCAGACCCAAAGCACAGCTGCAACTGAGTGCCTCTTAGTCTAGAGTAAGAGGCACTTGGTTACAGGCCCTGTCAGGTGCTTTTGATTTCTGGGCCAGCCTGCATGCCCTGCCACACATGCACTCTCTGAGAGTGTGGTGGGGCATGTGTGGTGGGGTGTGCAAACAGGCAGGTCTGAAGCACACTTGCAGCTGAGTGTCTCTTAGTCTAGAGTAAGAGGCACTTGGTTATAGGCACTGTCAGGGCCAGCCTGCATGCCCTGCCACACACGCACTCTCTGAGAGTGTGGTGGGGCATGTGTGGTGGGGTGTGCAAGCAGGCAGGTCTGAAGCACACTTGCAGCTGACAGTCTCTTAGTCTAGACTAAGAGATGCTTGGTTGCAGGCACTGGCAGGTGATCGTACGTTCTGGGCCAGCCTGCATGCCCTGCCACACATGCACTCTCTGAGAGTGTGGTGGAGCATGTGTGGTGGGGTGTGCAGGCAGGCAGGCCTGAAGTGCACTTGCAGCTGAGCACCTCTTACTCTAGAGTAAGAGGTGCTTGGTTGCAGGAACTGGCAGGTGATCGTACTTTCTGAGCCTGCCTGCATGTCCCGCCACACATGCACTCTCTGAGAATGTGGTGGGGTGTGTGTGGTGAGGTGTGCAGGCAGGCCTGAAGTGCACTTGGAACTGAGCACCTCTTACTCTAGAGTACGAGGTGCTTGGTTGCAGCTGCTGTCAGGTGCTTGTGCTTTCTGAGCCTGCCTGCATGCCCTGCCACAAATGCACCCTCTGAGAAGGTGGTGGGGTGTGTGTGGTGGGGTGTGCAGGCAGGCAGGCCTGAAGTGCACTTGCAGCTGAGCACCTCTTACTCTAGAGTAAGAGGTGCTTAGTTGCAGGCACTGGCAGGTGCTCTTGCTTTCTAAGCCTGCCTGCATGCCGCGCCACACATGCACTTTCTGAGAAGGTGGTGGGGTGTGTGTGGCGGGGTGTGCAGGAAAGCAGGCCTGAAGTGCGCTTGTGGCTGGGTGCCTCTTACTGTAGAGTAAGAGGTGCTTGGTTGCAGGCACTGGCAGGCTCTCGTGCTTTCTGGGCCTGCATGCATTCCCTGCCACACATGCACTCTCTGAGAGTGTGGTGGGGCGTGTGTTGGGGTGTGCAGGCAGGTAGGACCAAAGCGTACTTGTGGCTGAGCGCCTCTTACTCTACAGTAGCTGAGCACCTCTTACTCTACAGTAAGAGGCGTTGGTTGCAGGCACCTGCAGTCGCACATGCTTTCCGGTCCTATCTGCATGCCCCACCACACATGCACTCTCTTTCCAAATGTTGGGAACCACTGATTTAACAGAAGAGACAATTATTGTGTGTTTGATGCATCCAGGTCAATGTTAATGAGTGGGGTAAGCCTTCTAAGTTGCCTTTCAGTTATGGAAAATATAAGAATATTTATTCTTGTTAGGCATAACCAAAGCCAATCATTGCAAAGTTACTTAAATGCACTGTTTAGCACTTTTTATGCACTTTAAGAATTTAAGTCGCCAAGCTTCCATGCATTAGCCTTCATTAATGTTAGGCTTGCGGAATTTGCGTTTGGAAGCAAAAGATAGTCGTCCCATGTTATTCCTTTCCATGAACATCATTTGGGTGACTCGGGCTGCAGCGATGGAGAAACGATAAATCTAGAAAGGAAAACAAAAGCTTTCTGTCCGTATTCATCTACAACCATTTATTTATTTATTTATTTCGGGTACTTTTACCCCGCCCTTCTCTACCCCCGAGGGGGCACTCAGGGCGGCTTACAAAAAAAAAAAACGATTCGATGCCTATACAAATTACACATAATGTACAAAACACCATAGTTAAAACAATTATCACAATTAAAACAAACAAAACATCAATATACAACACATCATATAAACAATTCACATGCTCAGCGTAAGTCTTTCAGAGTTCCGATTTCCATTCCATTAGTCATTTCCTGGCCATTGTCAAAGTCCTTTCTTTATCTGCCCGATTGTCCGAATGCCTGGTCCCAAATCCAAGTTTTCAGTTTTTTCCTGAAGGAAAGGAGTGATGTCGCTGATCTGATTTCCCCGGGGAGCGAATTCCACAGGCGGGGGGCCACCACCGAGAAGGCCCTGCTCCTCGTCCCTGCCAATCTCACTTGTGATAGAGGCGGGGTCGAGAGCAGGGCCTCCCCAGAAGATCTTAGACTCCGGGGTGGGACGTAGAGGGAGATCCGTTCGGACAGATACACTGGGCCGGAGCCGTATAGGGTTTTGTAGGTCAAAACCAGCACTTTGAATTGTGCTCGGAACTGGATCGGCAGCCAGTGGAGCTGACATAACAGGGGAGTGGTATGCTCCCTGTATGATGCTCCAGTGAGCAATCTGGCTGCCTCCCGCTGGACTAGTTGGAGTTTCCGAACAGTCTTCAAAGGCAACCCCACGTAGAGTGCATTGCAGTAATCTAATCGGGATGTAACAAGAGCGTGGACCACCGTGTCCAGATCCGACTTCCCAAGGTGCAGGAGCAGCTGGCGCACAAGTTTTAATTGTCCAAGGTGTATCTTTTCTGGCGTCTCGCTTGACTGGGATTGTAGAAAACACAGTTATGCGAAGCCTCGCGTTCTTGGAATATGCTGACTGTAATGTCCCTTTCCGTTGCCTTATAGATGCTACCCCATTTAAGACGAGAAAATTAAGCTCCCCCTGAATTGAAAGGGAGGACTCATCTCATGTCATTTTTGAATGCTCCACTGGAGGTTTTGAGAAAGTTGACGAGAGAGATGATACACTTGTACTTTCTGTCATCCATCAACATTTGACGCACATCAGAGCTTCACCAACATCTACCGTCACCATCAAAGGGAAGCCATTTTCATATTTTCCCCCAATAGATAATATGGCATCATCTTGATTTGCCACCGAGGGTGGACTTCCCCATCCGAGGAAGTGCATGACATCTACTCCATTCCAGAACTTCATTTGGTGGCCTCCTTGGCCGTTGACTCCAGGTCCAAGAAAGCTTAACCCTTCTCTATCACTGTGCTTGACTTGACTTAGTTGGGTCTAGGTCAAGAATGGAAACAAAGCTACGTTTTCAAGTTGAGCTGACCGCATTCACACATCTTCGATGTTGAGGTTGGATGGTGGATATCAACGCAATAACACTGTTGGGGAACAGGGTCTCCTTTTGCACTATGGGTCTGATTCTGAGTCCGCGACACCCACAAACTCAGGATTGCTGAAGCTCACTTTGGGTTCTCCCATGTCCCGACGTTATTGAAGCAAGTTTACATTGTAATTTGGGCAAATGGGGAGACCCACGTGCCATATCCGAGTTCAAAATCGCCATTTGCACTAATATTTGTTCTTGTTTGTGGTAATGCTCTAAGATTACGCCATCTTTCTAGATGATGACCCAATGTTGGGACGGGGATAGTAGACCTCCCCTTTTTAAATGACGTTTACATAATTTATTTTCTAGTTTGCTTCTTCTTCTTTGCTACTTCTGTGTTAATGTTTCTGTGTATACCAGTTGTGTGTACAAAACCAAGCCATGATGACAACTACAAAGAACCAGGAAATGCAGTTGACTGCATGCCAAATAAAGACACAAAACTGGCTTCAATCCTATAAGTAAACACAACTAGACGAATGCCATTGAATCCAATGTTGGAGGCAACACAAAGGTAATTCTCATTATTTATTATTATTATTATTATTATTATTATTATTATATATAATAATAATAATTGAAATAAATAATAATAATAATAATAATAATAATAATAATAATTCTCATTGGGTTGTTGTAGGTTTTTCCGGGCTATATGGCCATGTTGTAGAGCAGTGTTTCTCAACCTGGGGGTCGGGACCCCTGAGGGGGTCGCAAGGGGGTGTCAGAGGGGTCACTGAAGAGCATTAGAAACATAGTATTTTCTATTGGTCACGGGGGGTTCTGTGTGGGAAGTTTGGCCCAATTTTATCTTTGGTGGGGTTCAGAATGCTCTTTGATTGTAGGTGAACTAGAAATCCCAGCAACTACAATTCCCAAATATCAAGGTCTATTTTCCCCAAACTCCACCAGTGTTCACATTTGGGCATATAGAGTATTCATGTCAAGTTTGGTCCAAATCCATCATTGTTTGAGTCCACAGTGCTCTCTAGATGTAGGTGAACTACAACTCCAAAACCCAAGGTCAATGCCCACCAAACCCTTCCAGTATTTTCTGTTGGACGTGGGAGTTCTGTGTGCCAAGTTTGGTTCAATTCCATCATTAGTGGAGTTCAGAATGCTCTTTGATTGTAGGTGAACTATAAATCCCATCAACTACATCTCCCAAATGACAAAATCAACCCTCCCTCAACCCCACCAGCATTCAAATGTCGGAGTATCAGGTATTTGTGCCAAATTTGGTCCAGTGAATGAAAATACATCCTGTATATCAGATATTTACGTTACGATTCATAACAGGAACAGAATTACAGTTATAAAGTAGCAACAACAATAATGTTGGTTGGGGGTCACCACAACATGAGTAACTGTATTAAGGGGTCGCGGCATTAGGAAGGTTGAGAAGCACTGCTCTATGGTGTTCTGCCCAAATTTTAATTGCAGGTTCCAAGCATCAGACCTCACTACCTCTGAGGATGCTTGCCATAGATGCAGGGAAACGTCAGGAGAAAATGCCTCTAGAACATCACCATATAGTCCGGAAAAACCTACAACAACCCAGTGATTCCGGCCATGAAAGCCTTCGACAATACAGTAATTCTCATTGACTGAATGGGTCTACTCTACTGAAGACTCACAACAGAATTCAGGTCCACATTTCTTTTTGCTGCCACTTGTTCCCAGTCCTTCCAAGATGTACTATAAATCTAATGGGTTCATCAATTGTCAGTTTTAATTAATTAATTAATCTCTCTAAATAAAATTGTAATGTTCGTTTGTGGGATTAACATAACTCAAAAACAACTGGATGAACTGACACCAAATTTGGACACTTTACCCCTAACAGACCAACGAGTAATCATCACTCATAAACCCTCCACTGGAAAAGACTTAAAAACACAAAAAAGCTAAATGATGATACAGAAAAAAGGAAGGAAGCGGGAGGGAAGGAAGGAACGAAGGAAGGGGAAAAAGAAAGAAGGAAGGAATTAGAGAAGGAAGCATGGAAGCAAAGAGCGAAGGAAGAAAGGAAAGAGATAGAGAAGGAAGAAAGGAGAGAAAGAGGGAGGAAAAGAAAAAGGGGGAAGAAAGGAAAGGGGTAGAGAAGGAAGGTGGATGAGAAGGAAAGAAAAAAGAGAAGGAAGGAAGGAAGGAGCAAAGGAAGGAGGGAAAGGAGAGAAAGAGGGAGGGAAGGAAAGCGAGAAGGAAGGATGGAAGCAAAATACAAAGGAAGGAAGGAAAGAGGTAGAGAAGGAAGAAAGGAGAGAAAGGGAGGAAGAGAAAAAGGGGGAAGAAAGTAAAGAGGTGGAGAAGGAGGGAAGGAAGAACACATACACGTCAAACATTCAATGCTGTTAGACTTACAGGACAGACAGATGGATAGAGGTATGTGTCTTGGCATTTTTCTTTAACTTGGAACAGTTACTTTTTGGATGACAACTACCAGAATGTCTAAGCCACTTATATCAGGGTGTTATGCGGGTTATATTCTAGGAACACAAAATATCTCACCCAGGTTTTCCTGTTGTCACTTGCCAAGGAGTTAGAAGAGTTGGGAGAGACCTCATGGGACATCCAGTCCAAACCCCTGCCAAAAAGCAGGAATATTGCATTCAAAGCACCCCCGACAGATGGTCATCCAGCCTCTGTTTAAAAGCTTCCAAAGAAGGAGCCTCCACCACACTCCGGGGCAAGTTCTTCCCAATGTTCAGATGGAATCTCTTTTCTTGTTGTTTGAAGCCATTGTTCCATGTCCCAGAAAACAAGCTTGCTCCCTCCTCCCTGTGAATTCCTCTCACGTATTTATACATGGCCCTCATCATGTCTCCTCTCAGCCTTCTCTTCTTCAGGCTAAACATGCCCAGCTCTTTAAGCCGCTCCTCATAACCTAGCAGTTTGAAAACATGCAAATGTGAGTAGATCAATAGGTACCGCTTCTACGGAAGGTAATGGCACTCCATGCAGTCATGCTGGTTACATGACCTTGGAGGTGTCTGTGGACAATACTGCCTCTTTGGTTTAGAAAGAGAGATAATTAACATCTCCAACGTTGGACTTGACTACACGTGATGTCAAGCGGAAACCTTATATTTACCTTTACTATTGTCATTTGACAGTAGGGATGGTAGAATACCTCGGGAGAATTTCCAATGTGCCATTTTAAACCGGTAGTATATTATTTACTAGCCGTCCCCTGCCACGTGTTGCTGTGGTCCACTCTGGTGGTCATGGAGGTTCTGTGTGGGAGGTTGGGCCCAATTCTACCATCAGTGGGGTTCAGAATGCTACGTGAACTACAAATCCCAGCAACTACAACTCCCAAATGTCAAGATTCTATTTTCCCCAAACTCCACATTTGGGCATATTGCGTATTCGTGTAGAGTTTGGTCCCAATCCATCATTGTTTGAGTCCACAGTGCTCTCTGGATGTGGGTGAACTACAATTCCCAAACTCAAGGTCAATGTCCACCAAACCCTTCCAGTTTTTTCTGTTTGTCATGGGAGCCCTGTGTGCTAAGTTTGGCCCAATTCCATCATTGGTGGAGTTCAGAATGCTCTTTGATTGTAGGTGAACTATAAATCCCAGCAACGACAACTACCAAATGACAAAATCAAATTTTTTGAGTGAAGGACATAAACTGGGCTGTTAGGTGTATCGTGTCCAAATTTGGTGTCAATTCCCCCAGTGGTTTTTGAGTTCTGTTAATCCCACAAACAAACATTACATTTTTATTTATATAGATATTAAAACCCATCCAAAGTGACATGCAAGGGTCACATGTGTTACTATGGAAGGGCCAAGCGTGTTGTGAGGAAGCCACATTTTGAAGCCATACATTGAAATAATAATTCATCTCAACAATCATCGCACACGTGGCACATCCCAGTTCTCTAATTTTACATGCTTTTGTATAAGAAAAATGGCTAATTCTGGCAGTCTGAATGTCGAGCCGTAGACTGCAATCGATACTTTTGGGCACTGACGCATCTAGGATTGCACTACTAGAACTGTGAAAACTTTGCACAACTTGCCGTTGCCATCTTCGTGTAGACCAGTTTACCACTTCAGCTATTTCAAAAGAGGTCGACGGTACTTTAAGCTGCACCAGAAAGTTTTTTTTTCCTGCTGCTGCCGAAAGAGTTTAATTGTTCTGTAAATGTACTTGTAAAAAAGTGTTAAATATATATTTAAGAAAAAAATATTGTTAAATAAAGAAAGGTATATGAGATCCTTTTATATTGTGTGATGAGTTTTGTGCTGTTAGAATCGAAATACAACAGAACATGCAATAAATACACCAAGGGCCAATGCACCTTTTAATCCATCCGCACCAGGGGTTTTCCAAAGTATTTAAATTTCCAATTCTGTGTTTTAGCTTCCTAACAGTCTTGTGAGCTGGGTTGCTGGGAGTTTTCCAGGTTATATGGCCATGTTCCAGAAGCATTCTCTCCTGACGTTTCGCCCACATCTATGGTAGGCATCCCCATAGGTTGTGAGGTCTGTTGGAAACTAGGCAAGTGAGGTTTCTATATATGTGGAATGATGTCCAGGATGGAAGAATGAACTTGTCTATTTGAGGCAGATGTGAATGGTGTAACATTAGAAAATGTTGATCATCTCCGCTACCTTGGCAGCCACCTCTCCACCAAAGTCAACATCGACACCGAAATACAACACCGCCTGAGCTCTGCGAGCGCAGCATTTTTCCGAATGAAGCAGAGAGTGTTTGAGGACCGGGACATCCGTAGGGATACCAAGGTGCTTGTTTATAGAGCTATTGTCCTCCCAACCCTGCTATATGCCTGTGAGACGTGGACTGTCTACAGACGTCACATGCAACCTGGAACGATTCCATCAGCGCTGCCTCCGGAAAATCCTGCAAATCTCTTGGGAAGACAGGCGGACAAACGTCAGATGCTGGAAGAAGCAAAGACCACCAGCATTGAAGCGATGGTCCTCCGCCATCAACTCCGCTGGACCGGCCATGTTGTCCGGATGCCCGACCACCGTCTCCCAAAGCAGTTGCTCTACTCCGAACTCAAGAACGGAAAACGGAATGTTGGTGGGCAGGAAAAGAGATTTAAAGATGGGCTCAAAGCCAACCTTAAAAACTCTGGCATAGACACTGAAAACTGGGAAGCCCTGGCCCTTGACCACTCCAGCTGGAGGTCAGCTGTGACCAGCAGTGCTGCAGAATTTGAGGAGGCACGAACGGAGGGCGAAAGGGAGAAGCATGCCAAGAGGAAGGCGCGTCATGCCAACCCCGACCGAGACCGCCTTCCACCTAGAAACCAATGCCCTCACTGCGGAAGAAGATGCAGATCAAGTATAGGGCTCCACAGCCACATACGGACCCACAAGAATACTGGAAGACAATCATCCTCGGAAAACGAGGGCTCGCCTAAGTAAGTAAAGTAAAGTAAGAATGTTGCAATTGGCCAGCTTGATTAGCATTGAATGGCCTGGCAGCTTCCTGCCTGGGGGAATCCTTTTTTGGGAGGTGTAACCTGGCCCTGATTATTTTCTGTCTGGATTTCCCCTGTTTCTTAGTTGGCCAGCTTGATTAGCATTTAATGGCCTTGCAGCTTCAAAGCCGGCTTCAGGAAAGGTAAAAGCTGCACATCGCAAGTGCTGAACCTGACTCAGCACATAGAAGATGGCTTTGAAAGGCAGCAGATCACAGGAGCTGTCTTCATAGACCTGTCAGCAGCCTATGATACTGTGAACCACCGCCTCCTCCTGAGAAAAATGTATAATATCACAAAGGACTACCATCTCACCCGCCTCATAGGAAACCTGCTACAAAACAGGAGCTTTTTTGTTGAGTTCCAGGGCCAGAGAAGCAGATGGCGGAAACAGAAGAACGGGCTGCCTCAGGGGAGCGTGCTTGCTCCATCCATGTTCAACATCTACACAAATGACCAGCCACTGCCAGAAGGGACAGAGAGTTTCATCTATGCTGATGATCGTGCCATTACCGCTCAAGCAGGGAGCTTTGAGATGGTTGAACAGAAGCTCTCCAAAGCTCTAGGTGCTCTTACTGCCTATTACAGGGAAAACCAGCTGATCCCTAATCCATCTAAAACACAGACATGCGCCTTTCACCTTAAGAACAGACAAGCATCCCGAGCTCTGAGGATTACCTGGGAAGGAATCCCACTGGAGCATTGCAGCGCACCCAAATACCTGGGAGTCACTCTGGACCGTGCTCTGACCTACAAGAAGCACTGCCTGATTATCAAGCAAAAAGTGGGTGCTAGAAACAATATCATACGAAAGCTGACTGGCACAACCTGGGGATCACAACCAGACACAGTGAAGACATCTGCCCTTGCGCTATGCTACTCTGCTGCTGAGTATGCATGCCCAGTGTGGAACACATCTCACCACACTAAAACAGTGGATGTGGCTCTTAATGAGACATGCCGCATTATCACGGGGTGTCTGTGCCCTACACCACTGGAGAAATTACACTGCTTAGCCGGTATCGCACCACCTGACATAGTAGCAGCCAATAGTGAAAGGACCAAGGTAGTGACATCTCCAGCTCATCCCTGTTTGGGTATTAGCCAGCATGTCAATGACTTAAATCAAGAAATAGTTTTCTAAGATCTACAGAGACACTCGCTGGAACACCTCAGCAAGCGAGAGTCCAAAAGTGGCAGGCTCAAACCCAGAACCTTAATCAGTGGCTGATACCAAATGAGAGACTCCCCCCTGGGCACACAGAAGACTGGGTGACTTGGAAGGCGCTGAACAGACTGCGCTCTGGCACCACGAGATGCAGAGCCAACCTTAAGAAATGGGGCTACAAAGTGGAATCCATGACATGTGAGTGTGGAGAAGAGCAAACCACTGACCACCTGCTGCAATGCAACCAGAGCTCTGCTACATGCACAATGGAGGATCTCCTTGCGGCAACACCAGAGGCACTCCAAGTGGCCAGATACTGGTCAAAGGACATTTAATCAACTACAAAGCTTGCAAACTTTGTGTTTTGTCTGTTTGCTTGTTTTGTTCTGTTAGCAATGTAACACAACTGTCTGGTTGCTCCTGACATGATAAATAAGTTTCAAAGCCTGGCAGCTTCCTGCCTGGGGGAATCTTTTTTTGGGAGGTGTTACCTGGCCCTGATTTTTTCCTGCCTGGATTTCCCCTGATTTTTTAGTTGGCCAGCTTGATTCGCATTGAATGGCCTGCCAGCTTCAAAGCCTGGCAGCTTCCTGTCTGGGGGAATCCTTTTTTGGGAGGTGTTACCTGGCCCTGATTGTTTCCTGTCTGGGTTTCCCCTGTTTTTTAGTTGGCCAGCTTGATTAGCATTGAATGGTCTGGTGGCTTCAAAGCATGGCAGCTTCCTGCCTGGGGGAATCCTTTTTTGGGAGGTGTTACCTGGCCCTGATTTTCCTGTCTAGGTTTCCCCTGTTTTTTAGTTGGACAGTTTGATTAGCATTGAATGGCCTGGCAGCTTCAAAGCATGGCAGCTTCTTGCCTGGGGGGATCCTTTTTTGGGAGGTGTTACCTGGCCCTGATTGTTTCCTGTCTGGGTTTCCCCTGTTTTTGACCTGTAAGGCCATTAAATGCTGATCAGGGTGGCCAGTTGCCACATTCACACTTGCCTCAAATAGACAAGAGTTCTTTCTCCCACCCTGGACATTCCACAGATAGATAAACCTCACTTGCCTAGTTTCCAACAGACCTCACGACCTCTGAAGATGTCTACTATAGATGTGGGCAAAACGTCAGGAGAGAATGCTTCTGGGACATAGCCGTACAGCCCAGAAAACTCACAGCAACCCAGTCATTTTGGTCAGGAAAGCCTTCAACAACATAGTCTTGGGAGCCTCAGAAAATGTAGAGGACTGATTTCATTAAAAATAGAGTTTATTCAGCAAATAATTATGAACTGAATGTACTTTAGTGTTTATTTTTTTGTTACAAATGGACTTACAGGGTCCTGTTCTGTAAGGAACATCTTTTGTTTTGCCAGTTTGTGAAGAATGGGGAAAATACAGTCCATTAAAAACAGGAGAAATCAAGTCAAACAAAATTATTTTATCTCCACTAGATTTCCCTTTTAGAAAGATAAAGCAAACCCAAGACCGAGAATTGTAATGATCTGATACTATACATAGATTTACACAAAAGTCATCCTCTTATGCAACGGTGTGCAGACCTTGTCTTAAACATTCCTTCTTCATTTTAGAAAGAAAAAACTTTGGAAAAAGAAAATGGAAAAATGGTTTCCTCGCCCCAACTTCCTCCATTTTCAAATGAGCCTAGCTGTGCATAATCCTTGTGGTATTTCGTATCCATTTGACATATCTTGCAACCCTGGTGTAAATGCCGTATTTGTCCTTTTTGGCACACTGTTCCCCCCAGCTGGTGATCCCAGTGAGGAACCAAGTGTCCTCAATGTCCGTGGCATGGGGTCCACCACTGTCCCCTTGACAGGTATCCTTGGCTTCACCTGGTTGACCTGCGCAGAACATGCTAGGCAAGATGGGGTACCGAGAGCTCCTCAAACAGGTTGGCCGGTCGATGTACTGCACGGTCAGGACCTGGAGGATGCTGGCCTCTCGCCCTTGGAAGTGTAACTTGCCCCATCCGCTCACGGTGCCCAGTCCGTGCTTCAGGAGGTTGTTGGTGAACTCTTTGTCCCCAATGCAAATTGGAGTGACATAATGGTTAAACTCCAGTGGAGACGCCAACTCGAGGAGGGCAATGTCATTGTGGTATTTGTTGCTCTCGTTGTACATCGGGTGAGGGATTGCCCTCGCCACCTGGCGGGATTGTTCCGTGTGGTCCTCGGCTTTCACATTGTGTTCCCCTGGTGAAACAAAACCATGCATGTTATAAAAGCCATAAAAAAAGAGGAAGGGTGGTTGAAGGTTTTCTATTTAAATTTCCTCTAAATTAGTTGTTAAAATATATCCCACCGATTACCACCAAATTATAACAATATCAGGGGAATTTAGAGCAGAGAAGGGGAGAGACACTCCCTCGGTTTAAGTCTCTCTAAAACTGAGAGACTTGAAATGATTCTTCAAATGAATTCCGCTGCCACCATTTAAATAATACTCAGGCTGAGGTAATACTGTGAGTTTGTTCTGTAACACACACAGTGCCACTATAGCAGTGTTTCTCAACCTGGGGGTCGGGACCCCTGGAGGGGTCGTGAGGGGGTGTCAGAGGGGTCGCCAAGGACCATCAGAAAACAGTATTTTCTGTTGGAAATGGGGGTTCTGTGTGGGAAGTTTGGCTCAATTCAATCATTGGTAGGGTTCAAAATGCTCTTTGATGGTAGGTGAACTATAAATCCCAGCAACTACAACTCACAAATGTCAAGGTCTGTTTTCCCCAAACTCCACCAGTGTTCTCATTTGGGCATACTGGGAATTCATGCCAAGTTTGGTCCAGATCTATCATTGTTTGAGTCCACAGTGCTCTCTGGATGTAGGTGAACTACAACTCCCAAACTCAAGGTCAATGCCCACTACACCATTCCAGTATTTTCTGTTGGTCATGGGAGTTCTGTGTGCCAAGTTTGGTTCAATTCCATCATTAGTGGAGTTCGGAATGCTCTTTGATTGTAGTTGAACTATAAATCCCAGCAACTACAACTCCCACAGGGTAAAATCAACCCCCCCCCCCAACCCAACCAGTATTCAAATTTGGACGTATTGGGTATTTGTGCCAAATTTGGTCCAGTGAATGAACGTACATCCTGCATACCAGATATTTACATTACGATTCACAACAGTAGCAAAATGACAGTTATGAAGTAGCAACAAAAATAATTTTATGGTTGGGGGGTCACCATAAGACGAGAAAGTGTATTAAGGGGCCGTGGCATTAGGAAGATTGAGAACCACTGCACTATAGATTCTTAGTTGCTGCTGTGAAGCTGACTTTAGGAATACTTTGACCACAAAGGTACACACACTGAGGCTGATGTAAGTTAACAAAGGAACAAAAATGTTTATTGAACAAGCTTGAATTAATTCAGGTACAAATGCTTGATGGTCTCAGAAAGTACTGGCATGAAAAGCTTGTGGTTGCATTAGAATAAAATCATAAACACTTCTGGGTTACAGGTCTTCAAAGTTCTTCCACAGAAAATTACTTCAGGAAACTCATCTCTGAAAGTAACTCCCAAAACTGATCCTTAGAAATCTAGCCAACGATACCCTGAACTAGACTTCCCTGGGAATGAACAGTCCACTAACTGGGCACTGCTCCACAACAGTATTCTAGCTATTTACTAATAGCTACTCTGAATACCTCACAAAAGACTAACCCAATCTTCTTCACAAAACCCAAACTGGCTCTGACTAACACCAACTCCTCGACAACTCTCTCTAACACCAACTCCTAACTGGATTGTCAATGTTGCAATCCCAGGTGACAAGCAGGATTGAAAAGACACAACTGGAAAAGCTGACATGACATGAGGATTTAAAAATCGAACTGCAAAGACTGTGGCACAAGCCAGTCAAGGTTGTCCCAGTGGTGATCGGCACACTGGGTGCAGTGCCTAAAGACCTTGGCCTGCACTTAAACACAATCGGCGCTGACAAGATTACCATCTGCCAGCTGCAAAAGGCCACCCTACTGGGATCTGAATGCGTTATTCGCCGATACATCACACAGTCCTAGACACTTGGGAAGTGTCTGACGTGTGATCCAATACAACAGCCAGCAGAGTGTCTGCTGTGGACTCATCTTGTTGTGTTAATAATAATAATAATAATAATAATAATAATAATAATAATAATAATCTCTACTATTATTATATTTATTACATGTACATAGCAGCACAGCTCACATGCACAGTAGGGCCAAATGTGGGATTCATCTCTGAATATTGGACTTCCCATGAATGTCATAGAATCATAGAATCAAAGAGTTGGAAGAGACCTCATGGGCCATTCAGTCCAACCCCCTGCCAAGAAGCAGGAATATTGCATTCAAATCAGCCCTGACAGATGGCCATCCAGCCTCTGTTTAAAAGCTTCCAAAGAAGGGGCCTTCACCACACTCCGGGGCAGAGAGTTCCACTGTTGAACGGCTCTCACACTGCAATAATTCTACAGTATGGAGACACCTATGGAATCCCACAAACATCCAACTAACAAATAACTCCTAGCTAAGAACAGTGATGAGGCAGCAGGAAGTGAGGGGAATCTACTCCTCAGAATAGAAATCCACTCCTGGAAGAGTTATTATCATGGGGAAAAAGAGCCTCCACTGAAGCGTTATCTGTAATCCTTGTTTTCACAACAAACCAATTTTTTCATAATCCAGTTCTCACAGAGACAGAGAGGTGAATCGTGTGTTTGTACCAAATTTGGTCCAGTGAATGAAAATATACCCTGCATTAGGCCTGGGTAACAACGGAAAAATTTGTTTCTAAAATCGATTCGTTTTTTGGGGGTTTTTGCGTTTCGATATTTAAAAGAATTCCGAAATTTTTCTTTTAAAAAGTTCGATATTTACGAAATTTCGTAAATGTTTAAAAAATTACGAAACATTAACGAAACAAATACGAAACAATAACGAATCGATTCGTTAATGGCGGACGCGACCGCGCAATACGCTAAAAAACCTCCAAATGGGACAGGGGGAACTTCTGAAGCTTCCCTCTCCCTCTGTTGTTGACTGTTGGTGTGATATTATAATTTTTTCACTAATTAAACAAAAAACAACTATAAAACTTGCCCCAGACATGCGGAAATAATAACGAAACGACCTCAAACCGATAACGAAACGAATACATAACGAATCCGAAGCATTTACGAAACGAATTTAAAAATTCGTTTCGTTTTTAAGTTGCTCCAGAATGGTTCGTTATCGCTTCGTTATAAAAAAATAATGAATTTTTAACGAATTACGAATTAACGAAACGAAACCGCCCAGCCCTATCCTGCATATCAGATATTTACATTACAATTCATAATAGTAGAAAAATTACAGTTATGAAATAAGAGGTCACGGCATTAGAAAGGTTGAGAAACACTGACCTAGGTGTTGACTCACCAGTCAACTGGTTCTAGTTGGGACTTTCCAGTAGGAATCATAAAATCTTAGACCTGGATGGTGCCTCATGGAAAATAAAGTCTGAACCCTATTCAGTATAGGACCTTCAGCTAAAGTATATTTGTCCGGCTTCTTTTTGAAGGCTTCCAGAAAAGGAAACTCAATCATATCTCCAGGTAGGTAGTTCCATTGCCCAATCACTTTTTCCATCAAGCATTTCCTTTTGATGTCAAATCAAAACCTGCCCTCCTGTAACTTCTGACCACAAGACCAGATCCGACTTTCTAGAGCAGCGAAAAACAAACCTACTTGTAGCAAAATTGCTACTCTATGTTAAAGTTTTGGTGTATAGCTCTATGTTTACATATGGCAGATAGGGAAGAATAGGTACAGACAGGGTAGCAACAGCAGAGATAGGATTCATTTGCATATGTGAAGCCGATTGGTCATATGCAGATTAGTGTAGGCCAGGATTTGAAAAGGCTGCTAGGCCAAAATGACAGTTGGGGGGAGCAGAGCTGAACATTCCAAAGGGGTGGAGCCAAGGTTCTGAAAGAGGCAGTTAGAGTGAGGGAGTTTGAAAATGACAGTTAGGAATCTGTGTGTGAAGAGGAGAGTTGGTTTTTGAGTGCCTGATAGAAATAAGCAGTTATGAAGATGTGTAAAGACTTCTGATATAGAGAAGCAGTTAGTTAAATAGAGCTCGAGTTTTAAGGAACATAAAGAAGGCTAGTGTTGTCTTAGTTCAGAATATAATTCAGCTAAGAGTGTGTAAAGCAAGTAACATGTTTGTGAATGTGAAACATTGATAGTTTATTCAGAAAAGTTAACCAAGTAAATGATACTGACTGTAAGCCTCAAGATTGCAACAAAACACAAATGTAACCACAAGCGTTGGAGCCAGAAGTTATAAATAAACTGTGTTACTTTGTTATACACAAGAGTGTTTCATTGCCTGTGATATAAAGTACAAAGGTTTAACAGCATACGGAAAGTCCCAGCCAATATAAAAGAAGAAACTGAATCAGTATAAGGCAGCATCCTCTCTGGGCATGTCCAATAGCACACATTCAATGGGAAAAGATACTGCCACTCCCCCAAAGTATCTTTGAAGAATCTAGATCAGTGGTTCCTTACCTTTGGTCCTCTAGGTGGTCCTCACAATTCCTAACAGGTGGTAAGATACTGGGATTTCTGGGAGTCTAAGTCCAAAACACCTGGAGGACCAAAGGCTGGGAAACACTGATCAAGATCCAGCTTTGGTCCTACCATCCCTTCTATCTTGCTTTATGAACAACCACTGCAAGTAAAATGTGGAAAGAACAAACCCAGTTTTTACACTCCCAAATGATCCTATTGCTCACCTGCCACAACAGTTCGGGGCTCAAGCTCCAGGCAGTGTGCAGCTGTGACAATCCACTTTTCATTGATGATGGAGCCTCCACAGATCCCTCTCTTCTCAATGTTGAGCAAATAAACCTGAGAGCAAAGTAAGGTTACTTAAGCAAGGGAAGAAGAGATCCCTTTCCAAACTGAGCAAGGGATTTTGTTAGGAGCTCATAGTGATCATGCCTCTGTTGGGAAGAAGATGTGGCATCACTATAGATCAGTGGTTCTTAGCCTGTGGGCTACGGAAAACCAGTAGGCTGCAAGGACAAAATTTGGTCAACAAGCCTCCCTCCTCTTTATTTATTTTATTTTTGCTCCTTTCGTGCCACCTTTCACTCCTTCCTTGTCGCTGACCATGGCATGTGTTCTGTATCGGAAACTGGTGCTGAAGTGGTCTATCCAATGCAATTTTCTGAATCAGCACCCCAAACCGAATGTAAAGTTGACCAAAAACTGATCTGTAACCCTATTGGTACGAATGTTGGGGAGTGGTCCCTGGTCAAAGTGGTCCCTGGTCAAAGTGATCTCTGGTCAAAATGGTCTCTGGTCAATATGATCCCTGGTCAAAGTGGTCCCTGGTCAAAGTGGTCCCTGGTCAAGTGGTCCCTGGTCCAAGTGATCCCTGGTCAAAGTGGTCCCTGGTCTAAGTAGTCCCTGGTCAAAGTGGACCTTAGTCAAAGTGATTGCTGGTCAAGTGGTCCCTGGTCTAAGTGGTCCCTGGTCAAAGTGGTCCTTGGTCAAAGTGATTGCTGGTCAAGTGGTGCCTGGTCAAAGTGGTCCTTAGTCAAAGTGATTGCAGGTCAAGTGGTCCCTGGTCAAAGTGATCCTTAGTCAAAGTGATTGCTGGTCAAGTGGTCCCTGGTCAAGTGGTCCCTGGTCAAATGATCTCTGATCCAAAGTGGTCCCTGGTCAAAGTGGTCCCTGATCAAAGTGGTCCCTGGTCAAGTGGTCCCTGGTCAAAGTGGTCCCTGGTCAAGGTGGTCCTTGGTCAAAGTGGCCCCTGGTCAAAGTGGTCCTTGGTCAAAGTGATTGCTGGTCTAAGTGGTCCCTGGTCAAAGTGATCTCTGGTCAAAATGGTTTCTGGTCAATATGATCCTTGGTCAAAGTGGTCCCTGATCAAAGTGGTCCCTGGTCAAGTGGTCCCTGGTCCAAGTGGTCCCTGGTCCAAGTGGTCCCTGGTCTAAGTGGTCCCTAGTCAAAGTGGTCCCTGGTCAAGGTGGTCCTTGGTCAAAGTGGCCCCTGGTCAAAGTGATTGCTGGTCAAGTGGTCCCTGGTCAAGTGGTCCCTAGTCAAAGTGGTCCCTGGTCAAAGTGATCTCTGGTCAAAATGGTCTCTGGTCAATATGATCCCTGGTCAAAGTGGTCCTTGGTCAAGTGGTCCCTAGTCAAAGGGGTCCCTGGTCAAAGTGGTCCCTGGTCAAAGTGGCCCCTGGTCAAAGTGTTCCTTGGTCAAAGTGATTGCTGGTCTAAGTGGTCCCTGGTCTAAGTGGTCCTTAGTCAAAGTGATTGCTGGTGAAGTGGTCCCTGGTGTAAGTGGTCCCTGGTCTAAGTGGTCCTTGGTCAAAGTAGTCTCTGGTCAAAGTGGTCCCTGGTCAAATGGTCCCTGGTCAAAGTGGTCCCTGGTCAAAGTGATCTCTGGTCAAAATGGTCTCTGGTCAAGTTGTCTCTGGTCAAGTGGCCCCTGGTTAAAGTGGTCCCCTAGTCAAAGTGGACCCTGGTCAAAGTGGTTCTTGGTCAAAGTGATTCCTGTTCAAGTGGTCCCTGGTCAAAGTGGTCCCTGGTCAAATGGTCCTTAGTCAAAGTGATTGCTGGTCAACTGCTCCCTGGTCTAAGTGGTCCCTGGTCAAGTGGTCCCTGATCACTAAGTGATCCCTAGTCAAAGTGGTCCCTGTTCAAAAATAGGGTGAGAACCATTGCTAGTATAGATGTTTATTTTCCAGGAAGTCCTCGTTAGACCCATGTTGCTCCATGTCCCCATTTTAAACACACCTGTTCCTCCAAAAATGAACCCCAGAAGAAGCATTGGAGGCAATTTTGTTATTTTTAGTTGTCCCTCAACTTTTTGAAGTTCAAGGGGGATCCTTTTTTTCGGAATCAGAATCTACTTGCCATTTCTTAAGCACTGGCCCACCTTGGCATATATGGTGATAAGACTACCTGCCAGGGAACTTCGCCTTTCTTGCTGTCTGTGCCTCCGACGACCCGGTTGCGGAAGGCTTCCTTCCACTGAATCTGGGTCGTATTGTCAGATTCCTCTCCTTCCAGGTCATCGCTGGTGGCATTTGTGGAGACCCAGTTGTCAAATGTGATGGAAGAGCGGGTGAGTTTTTTCTTGGCTTCGGGAGCTGTAATCTTTCCACATGGAAAAGGCACTGGGTCCAGTGGTGGAGAAAAAGAAATATAAGAAAACAAGAAAACAACTAGTCATGAAGACTCTGTTTAAGAAAGCATACAGAATCATAGAATCATAGAGTTGGGCCATCCAGTCCAAACCCCTGCCAAGAAGCTGGAAAATTGCATTCAAAGCATTCCAGACAGATGGCCATCCAGCCTTTGTTTAAAACATTCCAAAGAAGGAGCCCCCACCACACTCCAGGGCAGAGAGTTCCACTACTGAACGGCTCTCACAGTCAAGAAGTTCTTCCTCATGTTCAGATGGAATCTCCTCTCTTGTAGTTTGAAGCCATTGTTCCGTGTCCTAGTCTCTAGGGAAGCAGAAAACAAGCTTTGTCCCTTCTCCCTGTGGCTTCCTCTCACATATTTATACATGGCTATCATATCTGCTCTCAGCCTTCTCTTCTTCAGGCTATACATGCCCAGCTCTTTCAGCCGCTCCTCAGAGGGCTTGTTCTCCAGACCCTTGATCATTTTAGTCGCCCTCCTCTAGTCCAACTCCATTCTGTCATGCAGGAAAAGCACAATGAAAGTATCCCTGACAGAAGGCCATCCAGCCTATGTTTAAAAGCCTCCAAAGGAGGAGCTTCCACCACACTCCAAGACAGAGAGTTCCACTGCTGAACAGCTCTTATAGTCAGGAAGTTCTTCCTAATGTTCAGGTGGAATCTCCCTTCCTGTAATTTGAGCCCATTGCTCAGTTGAGTCCTAGTCTCCAGGGCAGCAGAAACAAAGTCTCTTCCTCTTCCTGGTTTCTCTTCAGATCGTATAAAAGTCTCTTCCTCTTCCTTTTGACAGCCCTTCAACCTTTCAACCTTAAGCAGACCAAGCTCTTAAAGATGCTCCTCAGAGGGATTCATGGTCTCCAGACCTTTGATCATTTTAGTTGCCCTCCTCTGTACACCTTCCTGCTTAGAGCCAATATCTCCCTTAAATTGTTTTGCCCAGAATTGGACACAATATTCCACGTGAGGTCTATCCAAAGCAGACTAGAGAGGCACAATGACTTCCCTTGATCTAGATCAATGGTTCTCTACCTGGCATCCCCATTTGTTTTGGCCTTCAACTTCCAGAAATCCTAACAGCTGTTGAACTGGCTGGAATTTCTGGTAGTTGAAGGCCAAAAACATCTGGGGACCCCAGGTTGAGGACCACTGGTCTAATCACGAAGCTCCTTTTGATGCAGCCAGAAATCCCATTGATCTTTTTAGCTGCTCCATCACACTGTTGACTCATGTTCAACTTGTTGTCCACTAGTTGAACATGAGCCTTGCTGGACTATCTAGAGCAGGGGTCCTCAAACTGAGACCCAGGGGCTGGATACGGCCCTCCAAGGTCATTTACCCGGCCCTCGCTAAGGATCAGCCAAAGTCTGGAACAATTTGAAAACACACAACAACAACAACAACAACAACAACAACAACAACAACAACAATCCTATCTCATCAGCCAAAAGCAGGCCCACACTTCCTATTGAAATACTAATAAGTTTATATTTGCTAAAATTGTTCTTCATGTGTCCAGAGGAGGGCGACTAAAATGATCAAGGGTCTGGAGAACAAGCCCTATGAGGAGCGTCTTAAGGAGCTGGGCATGTTTAGCCTGAAGAAGAGAAGGCTGAGAGGAGATATGATAGCCATGTATAAATATGTGAGAGGAAGCCACAGGGAGTAGGGAGCAAGCTTGTTTTCTGCTTCCTTGGAGACTAGGACGCGGAACAATGACTTCAATCTTCAAGAGAGGAGATTCCATCTGAACATGAGGAAGAACTTCCTGACTGTGAGAGCCGTTCAGCAGTGGAACTCTCTGCCCCGGAGTGTGGTGGAGGCTCCCTCTTTGGAAGCTTTTAGACAGAGGCTGGATGGCCATCTGTCAGGGGTGATTTGAATGCAATTTTCCTGCTTCTTGGAAAAATGGGGTTGGACTGGATGGCACATGAGGTCAGATATTTACATTACAATTCATAACATTAGGAAAATTACAGTTATGAAGTCGCAACAAAAATAATGTGGTTGGGTGTCAACACAACATGAGGAACTGAATTAAGGGGTCACAGCATTAGGAAGGTTGAGATCCACTGCTCTAGGTCCTTTTTAATTCCAATTAAATGTCTGTATTAAAATTTTAAAAGCTGTCTTAGGTTCTATTCTAGGAGAAAGACAAGATGCAAGTTGAATGAATGAAGAAGACTGGGATCTAATCCACCAAAATGCAGATATTTAACTCTGCCAAACATTTTTCATTCCAGCACTTGAGGTGCCTCTTCATACCTGTTGGTTCACAGCTCCTCTGGTCGGCCTTGAGCTTATACCCAGGAGCGCAGGAACACACGGCAATCCCAGCTGCGTTGTTCTTGCAAAACTGCTTGCAGCCTCCGTTCTTTGTTGAACAGGTAGCATCTGATTGTAGGTTAGGATTGGGAAGGAAGGAAGGTGGGAGTTGAGTGTAAATTGCCCTCTTTAACTGCAGATCCCAGCATTGGGACCATAGTAGCACTGAAAGGGTCTTTGAGTAAAATTAGGAAATGCTAAGCAAGGGGCTTGCAAATGCTAAGCAAGAGGCTTTAAATGAAATTAGCAACAAAAGAGAAATGTACCCTTTCTCTGTAGAAAAAGGAGCAACACGGAATAAAAATGGTTTTTTAATAAAAAAAACAAGAGATGACATGTAGAGGTCATACAAAGTTCAAGCTTACATAGGAAGTTGGGTTATAGTTAAGCGCAAAGGTTGTGGTTAAGCGCAGAGTCTGCAGGTGCAGGAAGGTACTTTCCATCAAAAGGTCAAGGGAGGAGGGCTGGAAAGAGAGTACTTTCCATGACCAAAAATATACATTTATATATACAAAATATATAAAAAAGTGTATTATTATTATTATTATTATTATTATTATTATTATTCTCCACATGATGTTGTTTTAGGCAAAGTGGAATAATAGTGTTATATAACGGCCTCTAGTCATCCAACAAGGATAAGAGACCAATATAATGAGAACTCCAAAGAGAGATAGATAGATAATCAAATATAATATATAAATAGGCAGTCTCTAATTAACATACCTAATTCGCAGTTCCTTCCTTCGTAACCTGCTGGACACCAGCAAATGTAGTTACTAACATCGTCTTCACACCGGCCTCCATTTTTGCAAGGGTTTGATATGCACTGATCTCCATCTTGAAAATGAAGATTAAGATTATAATTGGAATTTGGATGGAGACATTATCATTAATATACTATAGAACAGGAGAATGGAGTTACGGAAAAAAATTGGAATATGAACTAGGAATGGCTAAGACAATGGAATGGTTGAGGAATTGAACAAGAAGACATAGTTTTTATAATTTTTATTGTTTACTAGCTGTCCCCTGCCACACGTTGCTGTGGCCCACATGGGGGTTCTGTGTGGGAGGTTTGGCCCGATTCTATCGTTAGTGGGGTTCAGAATGCTCTGTGATTGTAGGTGAACTATAAATCCCAGCAACTACAACTCCCAAATGTCAAGATTCTATTTTCCCAAAACTCCACCAGCGTTCACATTTGGGCATATTGAGTCTTCGTGTAGAGTTTGGTCCAGATCCATCATTGTTTGAGTCCACAGTGATCTCTGGATGTAGGTGAACTACAACTCCAAAACCAAAGGACACTGCCCATCAAACCCTTCCAGTATTTTCTGTTGGTCATGGGAGAACTGTGTGCCAAGTTTGGTTCAATTCCATCATTGGTGGGGTTCAGAATGTCCTTTGATTATAGGTGAACTATAAATCCCAGCAACTACAACTTCCAAATGTCAAGATTCTATTTTCCCAAAACTCCACCAGCGTTCACATTTGGGCATATTGAGTCTTCGTGTAGAGTTTGGTCCAGATCCATCATTGTTTGAGTCCACAATGATCTCTGGATGTAGGTGAACTACAACTCCAAAACCAAAGGACACTGCCCACCAAACCCTTCCAGTATTTTCTGTTGGTCATGGGAGAACTGTGTGCCAAGTTTGGTTCAATTCCATCATTGGTGGAATTCAGAATGCTCTTGATTGTAGGTGAACTATAAATCCCAGCAACTACAACTCCCAAATGTCAAGGGCTATTTCCCCAAACTTCACCAGCGTTCACATTTGGGCATATGAGTTTTTGTGCCAAGTTTGGTCCAGATCCATCATTGTTTGAGTCCACAGTGATCTCTGGATGTAGGTGAACTACAACTCCAAAACCAAAGGACATTGCCCACCAAACCCTTTCAGTATTTTCTGTTGGTCATGGGAGAACTGTGTGCTAAGTTTGGTTCAATTCCATCACTGGTGGGGTTCAGAATGTCCTTTGATTGTAGGTGAACTATAAATCCCAGCAACTACAACTACCAAAAGACAAAATTTTGTAGCAGACTGGTAGCCAGTGGAGCTGGCGCAACAGAGGAGTTGTATGCTCCCTGCGTGCCGCTCCAGTTAACAATCTGGCTGCCGTCCGTTGGACCATTTGAAGCTTCTGGACAGTCTTCAAAGGCAGCCCCTCATAGAGCACATTGCAGTAGTCTATACGGGATGTAACCAGAGCGTGGACTTCCGTGGCCAAGTCAGGCTTCCCTGTGATGCTTTCCCCTCCATCTGCTTTTCCCTTTCAGATGAAGTGGAAAATATGACAGGAGGAGTGGTAGCTTAAACCCTGTCTTTAAACACAGAAGGGGGCAGAAATCGAAAAAATGAAAGGAAAGTAGCATCAAAGCAACAAAGAAAATACTATGAAAGCATATAACCAGAAAATGGCATTAAAAATCATGATACAAAAACCCCAAGGCCACAAACACTGAATGAACGCACACAGAGAGAAAATCCTTGAATTATATAGACACACAAAATGAACAAATAATGTCAAAATATAGCCAATGTGCCTGGTACAACTTGCTACAAAATGCTTAACCAAGAGGCACAAACAGTCCTGTGTTTTGAGTTGACATAAGCAAAAGTAAATGAAGGAAATAGATGGACTAAATGGGACTTCTGGATATTAATTATCCCACTTCAGACATTACTTCTGGTGCTGTTTCAAACACATTCTTCCTATACACACTTGAAAACACACAACTGCAAATATAGCAACCCAATAATAGGAAAGCTAAGATATTAAGAACCACGAAGGACATAATTGGCTTCGTATGTTTTATGCAGTTGTGTGGTTTTAAAATATTTTTCTTGTGGCTTTGCAGTAGGATAGTAAATCTGTTCTGAGTTTCATGTCTGAACTTTAAAGGAGCTTGCAATGTCATCACTTTATATATATTGATTTGCCATTCAATGTATCTAGATCAGTGGTTCTCAACCTGGGGGTCGCGACCCCCAGGGGGGTTGCCTGGCCGTTTTGGAGGGGTCACGAGGCCGCCTCTGTTGGCCCTGCCCCAAGGGTGCGGGCCAGGCAAAGGCTCCTTCATGCGAGGTCTGGCCTTGCACAAAGCCTGCCTTGCTATTATTATTCATAACTAGCTGTCCCCTGCCACGCGTTGCTGTGGCCCAGTCTCATGACCTGGAAAATCAAGTAATGAGAAAGTGCTGGTTTCTAATATATGTAATGTCTTTATGCTTGTGGGTCAACAGTATTTCTTGCTGTTTCTTTGTCAGTGTTGATGTGGAGATTGTCTGGTTTGCCTACTCTGGAACATGCAACATGGAAATTGTCCTTCTTTAGGGGTCCCTTTCAAATCTATACTATATCTCTCTGTGTGTGAATCATTTCTATCTATCTAATCTATAGGCCGTGACAGACTTTGTATTTCTAGGTGCAAAGATTACTGCAGATGCAGACTGTGGCCAGGAAATCAGAAGACGCTTACTTCTTGGGAGGAGAGCAATGTCCAATCTCGATAAAATAGTAAAGAGTAGAGACATCACACTGGCAACAAAGATCCATTGCCTAGTCAAAGCCATGGTATTCCCTGGAATAACCTATGGATGTGAGAGCTGGACCTTAGGGAAGGCTGAGCGAAGGAAGATCGATGCTTTTGAGCTGTGGTGTTGGAGGAAAGTTCTGAGAGTGCCTTGGACTGCGAGAAGATCCAACCAGTCCATCCTCCAGGAAATAAAGCCCGACTGCTCACTGGAGGGAAAGATACAGAGACAAAGTTGAAGTACTTTGGCCACATCATGAGGAGACAGGAAAGCCTAGAGAAGACAATTATGCTGGGGAAAGTGGAAGGCAAAAGGAAGAGGGGCCGACCAAGGGCAAGATGGAGGGATGGCATCCTTGAAGTGACTGGACTGACCTTGAAGGAGCTGGGGGTGGTGACGGCCGACAGGGAGCTCTGGCGTGGGCTGGTCCATGAGGTCACAAAGAGTCGGAGACAACTGAACGAATGAACAACAACAACAATCTATGGCTGGATGTCTCTTTGTCAGGAGGGTTTGATTACGTTTTCTTGCCCTGGTGGAGGGAGTTGGACTGGATGGCCTTCAGTATGGCGGTTCTGTGTGGGAAGTTTGCCCCAATTCTGTCATTAGTGTGGTTCAGAATGATCTTTGATCAATCCCAGTAACTACAACTCCTAAATGTCAATGTCCCCCAAACTCCATCTGTGTCCATATTTGGGCTTATGGAACATTCGTGCCAAGTTTGGTCCAGATCCATCATTGTTTGAGTCCACAGTGCTCTCTGGATGTAGGTGAACTACAACTCCCAAACTCAAGGTCAATGCCCACCAAACCCTTCTAGTGTTTTCTTTTGTCATGGGAGTCCTATGTGCCAAGTTTGGTTCAATTCCATTGTTGGTGGAGTTCAGAATGCTCTTTGATTGTAGGTGAACTATAAATCTCAGGAACTACAACTCCCAAATAACAAACTCAATTTTAGAGTGATGGTCACTCCTTGGGTTAGTGGGTGCTGTGGCCAACCTTCCATCCCTCTTTCTCTCTCGCCTTCCATCCTTCTCTCCCTTTTTCCTTCGTTCCTTCCTTTTTTCCTTTCCTTCTCCCTTTCCTCCCTCCCTCCCCCCTTTCTTCCTTCTCTCCCTTTCCTTCCATCCCTCCTTCTCTCTTTCCTGCTTTCTTTCCCTCCCTCTTTCTCTCTCTCCTTTCTTCTCCCCCGCTTCCCTTCCTTCCCTTCTTTACCTCTTGCCTGGGCGGAAGGAAGGATTTGAATGCATGCGCAGTGTTCTCTTTTAAAATTTAAGGTCTTACTGTTTTTTGGGAGGAATTTTTTTGAGTGCAGGACATAGATTGCTCTGAATGCTGTGTTCTGTCCAAATTTGGTGTCAATTCCCCCAGTGGTTTTTGAGTTCTGTTAATATCACAAACGAACATTACATTTTTATTTATATAGATAGTAGCAAAATCACAGTTATGAAGTAGCAACAAAAATAATTTTATGGTTGGGGGTCACCACAACATGAGGAACTGTATTAAGGGGTCATGGCATTAGGAAGGTTGAGAACCACTGATCTAGATGGCACCCAATTAAAAAAGTGTGATCTAACAAAGCAAATCTCTTCCATGCAATGACTTCTACTCTGATACTTTCTCATGTCAAGGACTGTAATGGAACAGAGACCACTTACCAAGATACACCTTCCAAAATGCCATCTAGAACAAAGAGAGTAGAAGTGAGTGGAAATTTCAATTCAGACAAGGATGGTATTAAAATTCTAGTGTAAACTAAAAGATCTCAAAATTTAACAAAAATACATCTGACAGATGTTGGAAATGCGAACAGCAATTAGGTTCCTTCTACCATATGTGGTGGTCGTGCCCAAAAGCTAAAAAATTCTGGGCTATAATTCATACTGATATACAAAAGATACTTGAAATAAAAATAAGAAAGGAACCAGAGTTCTTTTTGCTCGGAATGTTTAATGTTAATGGAGACAAAAATAAAGACATTATTTTTAATTATCTATCCATTGCAGCGAGAATTGTATATGCTAAGATTTGGAGGCAGAAAGAAACACCACAAAGAGAAGAATGGCAAAGTAAAATATTAGAAATAATGAATATGGATGAGTTAACATACTGGCTGGTGCCGAATGAAGGAAAACCGAAGATACACACAAACTGGGACTTGGTGAAAAAGTACTTTGAACAACAAAAAAATAGAGGTCGTTTCCTGAAGAAAAATAACATAAACAATGATAGCTGTAATACAGGAAAGCATGTTGAATAGGCCTGTTTGATCAAGAAAAAATTTGTTTCTAAAATCGATTTGTAATTGGGGTGTTTTTTTGTTTCGATATTTAAAATAATTACAAAACTTTCCAAAAAAAAGTTTTGGTATTTAACAAATTTTGTAAATATTAACGAATTTTTAGAATATTTTTGGTATTTCTTAAGAATATTAAAATAATATTAAAAAATAATATTAAAATAATATTAAAAATATTTTAAAATGGAAAATTAACCAAAAAATGGCCCAAATGTGGACCAAACACAGGCAGGATACAGAAAATGAGAGCACACACCAACAGAAGAGTCTTTTCTTTTTTAGAACATTTTTTAAAAATAATAGTAAAAATAATATTAAAAAATAATATTAAAAAATAATATTAAAAATAATATTAAAAATATTTTAAAATGGAAAATTAACCAAAAAATGGCCCAAATGTGGACCAAACACAGGCAAGAGACAGCAAATGAAGCAAGCAGCACTCACAGCAGCAAGGAATGAATCCAATCCCAGTTGCTAGCAGGCAGCCATTGCCAAGCCAACCCAATGCAAACTCCCTCGCCCTCTGCAAGCTACGGGCCGCGCGGAGCCGCTTTGAAAGGACTCGCCGGCCAATCAAAAAGGGACAGCCACGGACCCATGGTGCACTGCTTGGGAGCGCCGGATTGGCTCCCATGCAGCAGCACTCCAGCAGCCTCCACCCCATTAACGAAACGAGCGGAGGCTCGTAAATACTATGGGGGCTGCTGGTTCGATATTTATAAACCCTTCCGGGTTTGGAAATATGTTTCGATATCGCTTCGGAAATGGTAAAATTAACGAATTATTAACGAATTAACGAATTAACGAAACGAATCGCACAGGCCTAATGTTGAACTACTTAAATAGAAAGTTTTTTCTTTTTCCTTTTTTTTCTTTTATCTATCAACAAACCTAAAGAAGATCTTCGAAGAACAGATGGAAGTCCATTTTATTTTTATTTTTTATTTTTTTCCTTTTCTCATTTTTTCTTTTTTTCTCTTACCTCTCCCTCCCCATTTTTCCCAACCCCCCACTTCCTAACCTCACTTTCACTTCCTACTTTCCTATCTTCTTCACAATTATTCCCCCACTTTCGATGTATACACAATATAATTCAATAAAAATTTATTTTAAAAAAATTCTGGTGTAAACAGTGGTTAAAACCAACAGCTATGAAAAGAAGGCAGACAGTGGACAAATAGGCTGTTCAGATCCAGATCCAGATCCATTGCTGAACCTATCAAGAAGTTCCTTCTAATGTTCCATCGAAAACATTAAACCTGGTTCTACCTTCTGGAGCAACCAGAACGTTAAACCTGGTTCTACCTTCAATATCTCAAGGACGTTCTCAGAGAAGAGGAAATAGATTTTCCTCTTCTCTGGGAACGTCCTTGAGATATTGAAAGAGTCCTATCATGTCAACCTTCAAGTTGAACATGCCCATGTTGTACACCAGAGCAGGACCACCTCTGACCTTAAACACCACACCAGCTTGGTAAAATCAAGCAAGCAGTTTTGAAGAATATAAGTAGGCAAAGCAGTAAAATTAGCAAAAACAGTACATTTCCAAAATGAAAGTTATTCCATGAGCTTCAAGGCAAAACAAGATCCATAGGTATAAAAATCAATGAAACAGGCACAAGAATCCATGAAACAGGGCAGCCTGAAACATCCAATACACAAATCAGGAGCTTGGCAAAAACTTGGTACATGAAACTAAGAACACTTGAAAGCAAGACCATCATGACATTTCAACTTTGACACAACTGAGGCAACTCCTTCCCCTGAATCAATATTTATTTATTTATTTATTATTCAAACTTATATGCCACTCCCCTGGGGCTCGGAGCGGCTTACAAGAACAGGCTAAAATCGAACACAATTTAAAAACAATTTTAAACAATTTTAAAACAGCAATATCCAAGATCAAAGGCCTGTCGAAACAGACATGTCTTACATGCTCTGCGGAAAGCTGATAAGTCCCACAAGGCACGGACTTCAGGGGGCAGAATATTCCAGAGTGATGGTACCATTGCTGTAAAGGCTCTGCGTCTGGTTGCTGTTAGACGCAAGGTCTTGACACTGGGAATTTCCCACAAATCTTGGTCCTCAGAATGGAGGGATCTCTGGGGTTGGTGGGGGTGAGGCGGTCCCTCAGGTACATCGGCCCCAGACCATGCAAGGCCTTAAAGGTGAGTACCATCACTTTGAAAGGGATCCGGTGCTCAATTGGTAACCAATGCAGCTGCAGTAAGATTGGTGTTATGTGGCATCTCATCGGAATTCCCGCACAAGAAGCCGAGCAGCTGCATTTTGTACCAGCTTGAGCTTCCGGATCACCAACAGAGGAAGGCCAATGTAGAGGGCGTTACAGTAGTCCAGTCTTGAGATGACCGTGGCCTGGATCACCGTAACTAGGTCGTCCCTGGACATGGAGGGGGCCAGCCGTCTAGCCTGCCGCAGGTGAAAGAAGGCGGTTCTGCTAACGGCGGAGACCTGGGCCTCCATCGTCAGCAGAGGGTCCAAAAGGACTCCCAGACTCTTTACCAATGATGACGGGCGTAGCGCCTCGCCATCCAGGGTAGGCAGCTGGATATCCCCACTGCCCAGTTGACCCAGCCATAGGATCTCCGTCTTTGCTGGATTCACCCTCAACCTGCTGGCACGCAGCCATCCAGTAACGGCCTCGAGGCACTGATGGAAATAATCGGGTACAGAGTCCGGTCGGCCTTCCATCTTCAGCACCAGCTGAGTGTCATCAGCGTACTGGTAACACTCAAGCCCAAAACCTCGAACCAGCTGAGCAAGTGGTCGCATATAGATGTTAAACAACAGAGGGGAGAGAATGGCCCCCTGAGGAACCCCACAAGATAGAGGGGACCTCTCAGAGACCAGGCCTCCCCTCTCCACTCGCTGTCCATGGTATATAAGGCTTTTACAGATCCCAAACGCAAAAGGAAAGCATTTCTCTTAACCTTACCACCAGATAATGGTTTTTTATCTCTCTTTTCTTGTAAACAAACTGATCTTCTTTGTGCCTGAGCACCCTGTCTCTGTTTCCATAAGCCTTGCCTTCTATCTACACTCTCATTCACTTGACTCTCATTAACTTTTGTACCTGACAAATCATTTTCAGACAGTTCCTCTGAGAAAAAACTGTGAAGGGCTTCTCCCAGGAATGTGGCCTTGTGAATCTTCCTGAGTGTCGCACCTCAGAGTAGAATCACCTTGCTTCAGACACTAAACAGCACACAGCCAATAGTCTTTATGGTTTATTAAAGTAAAAGATAAAAAAGCAAAAGTATAGTTCCAAAGATCAATACAAGGTAGCACTGGAAAACAGGATCCACAAAGACACAAGCAAGGCAAAATCCCAAGAGAACATGACAAAGTCCTGAAACAATGAACATTAAAACTGCAAGATAAATCCTAAGTCTCCTGACTGAAGCGAGAAGTTGCTCTGACACTGGGGTATTTTCAAACAGCCTATTTAATACCCTTTGGAAAACATGAAGGCGTTCCTCTGGCCCTTAGCCTCCCTCTCTCTCTTGTTAGCAATTCTCACACTCCTTCGAACCTTAAATTCCAAGCGATCAGCTCAATCTAAAGCTCCGGCTGTCGGAAGGGAGGGGAAGGATCCTGAAACCTCGAGGCCTCTAGACAGAGGCGTGGGACCACAAAGAAGCAGATTAGGGGAAAAGGCTAAAGTGAGGCACGAAATTAGAAGCGCGAAGCGAGAAACGGGAGGCAACAAAACACCGAACTTAATAAAGAAGAACCCACGCTACATCAAAGCAAGAAACAATAAGAGAAAATGACCACTCCTAAAACAAAGATGGAGAAGGAGATAAAGGACCCCAAAAATACGGGCAGAAGAGGATCAGGTCAGGAAGAAGTCAACATGAAGGACATCTGGAAGGAGCTCCAAAAACTAACAGAGAAAATAGTAGAAAACCAGGAAGAAAATAAGAAAGAACTAAAGACTATAAGAGAAAATCAGATAAAGCAACAGGCGCAACTTGAACTAATTAGAAAAGAATTCAAGGAAGACATTACTACAATCAAAAATGACATCTCAAAGGCCTTCGTCGAAATTAACGACAACAAGACAGAGAATAGGAAACTCGGGACCGAACAAAGAAAACTACAAAAAAACCTGGACGACCTGGCTGCCAAAAACGAAAAAATGACAAAAGAACTAGAGAGGATCCAACATGGGGAACTGGAATATGCATTAAGAATAAGAAACTTGCAGGAGGATCCACAAGAGAACCTGAGAGCTAAAACAACCAAAATACTAGCAACGGTGATGGGCCTACCAGAGGAGAGTATGGAGGCAGAAATAGACCGTACCTATCGGGTACAGTCGACGTACGCCAAACAAAACAAGCTAACCAGAGAT